ACTACCAACAATGCACTTGGCTTTACTCAAATTTTGATAGAACAGGCAACAAATATAATTTCATTTTGGCCTAAACATAAATCAAAGATGATAAATTTATCATTACAGTTACCAAGATGTATCTTCAGATATGATACTAATGAAATTACAACATCCTAAAATACGGGTAAACAAAGTTGCAACATGCATGTTACTGTTGTATACCTTTTTACAATGTACTTAATATACCTGAGCTGTGGTATAATTTAATACACAATGACCATCAAGGTCGATTCATTTTGAATCATTTCAACTCATTTCCTGTATCTATAAGTATAAATAATCTTGAATTTAAATGTATGCAAGGTAAAGTGAGCCTTTGTGATATTCATTTACTGATGAAAATTGTAGGTTTGACGAGTTTTCCAGGACTCGAACCTAGTGCCCATGTTGAAAACAAAGGCAGTACCAAAAACTATTAAAGCTAAGGTCATGCAAACAGCAACAGAAAGGAATATACAGAAACAAAGTTTTAAAATGAATTTTCAAATAAAGCAATCTCAAAAATAGAATCATATCAAACAAAACTGCATAAACAAATTCTTGATTTCATCTGTACCTGTTTCACATCGAAAGGCCTCTTTTTTTACCAAGTTTTTTATGATTGTTTCATCTGTTCTATATGGATCGATATATATATATATATATATAAAAAGGGAATTTCAGTGTAAATCACTGTTCATTGCACCTATTTTATTTTTATGAAAATCATTAAGAGGTTCATTAAGAATTATATAGAGAGAACTCATTATGACGTCATTAAAGTAATCACATTATTGACAGCAAAGGGATGATTTTCAGGTTTGACACCAACTTTGGCATCGCTCCCTATAGTTAGTCCCTATACATCTAATTGAAACTCTATAGGATCAAGATTTGACTAGGCCTATATAGCAAATAAATACATTGTAATTTCAAAGTCAAAAACACATTCCTTTTCTAAATTCGTGAGTCAAAACATACATGTACGTCAATTAGTTCTGTCCTTGAAGACACAAGTATGTAAATCTGCATGAAGTCATTTTGGTATTTTCATAGGTTTTAGTAAGACTATATCTAATGTCCATTTTATAAATTGTATATGTACTTGACTGAATAAATAATTTAATTTATATATTACGACAGAGTTGGTGCTAGATGTATAGAAATACAGAAATATCAAATTTGTATGAAGTAACTTGTATGTATACATTTAGATGTACATAGAATAGGTCTCATCAAGACAATTTATTCTAACAGGTTAGCAGTTTCATAATTGTTTAACAGAAAGTTGTTATCAAAGTGGAGTCACATCCCCTTCGTATTTAATGGAGGCACAGTAGTCTAGTGGTAGGACGCCGGGGTCGTGACCGAAAGGTTGCGGGTTCGAGTCATATCACGGCAATGTGTTGTATTTTTGAACTAGATACTTTACTCCGCTTGTTCCGGTCTACTCAGCTGTACATGAGAACGTGGTTGGGCAGTGCTGGAATTGTTGAATACAAGCTGTGAGTGCGGAAATGGCAGCACAGGCTGTATGCTACATCTAGGGAGTTGAGAAATGCATTGGCTAGTCCCTATAACCACGCATAATAATTTGTAAACCGCTTTGACATGACCTACGAACTAGGTTGTGATAAAGCGGCATATAAGAACCTCGAATTATTATTATTATTATTAAAAGCAGCTATTGACTACGCTGACTAGATGTAGGCTTAACAAATAATCCGGAGATGGGAGAAATTACAGTTTCCTAATGTGAAAAATACTTTTCTCGCGCAGGTTGAGACGGGAGAATTCCCCAGTCATAACACAATGGTATGACGTCACGTCAACAATGCATAAAACGTCTAATAGGCAATTGGCCGAACGTGTTACGTCAACATTGCATGATGAATACGACGTCAAGACAATTTTTTTTATTCAACCTCTTACATTGAGATGGCAAATCTGCACCCTTGAAAAACAATTCCCCTAGCTTACCCCAAAGGGTATGAGAACTCTATTAATCTATTCACTTTATCACTACAGACTATCAGACATCAATTTCTGTTTAAAGTTAGGATATTGTGAATAAATTATCTTACCTAATAAAGAACCATACAGATATAAACTTTTCCTGAAAGTCTCACCTTCCAACAATCCACACGTGTTAAATATACTTTCATAGACCAGCATACAACTTAAATTTATCAACAATGCTTAGAAGGCACCCAAACCCAAAACGAGTTATGAGAGACTATACCTAAAATGTTATACAGGAGATGATACTAAAAGAGAGACAATATTAAAACAACACAAATAAACAAATGGCTCATATGTACCATTGTGCGCTAAAAATATACGTCATAAATAATATATAAGATTCAACCCGTTGAACTCTTCTGGACACCAGAGAATACACTTTTACACATATTTTCAAGTATTAGTTTTTCTTCTACAATACGCTGTGTTATTCCATTCTCAGATCATTGTATAAATATGCAGACTGTTGAATAAATATGAGTTATACACCCTACGTGGTATATGACCTTCCGTAGTTTTGATTGGTCGAGAAGATGAACCTTGACCGGACTACTTTTTTCACGCGCTTTTTGCCGCGTGCTGTTTTGTTTACGTCGTCTGCTGTCAACATCCGGCAAATGTTGGTAACTTTCGTGAGATTGTGCGATGGGAAAAGGGGGTTATTAAGGCAATACCAAAAGAAGACGATGCTAAAAGATTTGATCGCTAGTTTCAGGCAAAATTGCTACAGACACTCGATATCGTTTCGACGCCATACCGTCGCGTGTCCAGGTCGTGAAACACAGAGACGTATCGATAATATATGTGTCTCTGTTAAACCCAAACAAGATCTGTAACAGTGTTGGAAAACATTTCGTTCTCCCCATTTCCCGCTATTAGTATTTGAAGGGCCTGTCTATGGCGGAACTCTCACTATAAACGTCAACCATAGAACCTCACGAAGAAACGTCCCAGGCCTATGGTTTTGGACATTGACAGCGATTAGCCTAGTTCGTCTTCATCACTTGGCGGGAAGCAGACTTCGTCCGATATGCTTACGCGCATATAGTCCATGGTTAATTTATATTAATTAATGCAATATTGCATACTCTCAATATTTAAAGCCGTTCATCTATTCTATTTTTTAAGTTGTTGCCGAAACATTTATTTTGAAAATTATTGAATAAAAAAAAAACAAAAAAAACACAGTCATTTTTGAATATTAATGAGTGACTTTTTACAAATGAGTCATATCACTACGCCAGCCTTGTCAACAAAATGTACTCCAGCTGTAGATCACACGACTCGTGGTTGTTGAGTATGGTATTTATTTCACTCTCGTTAGCTAAAGCTCGTGTCTTTTGTAACTTTTGAAAATTAACTAACTCGAGTGAAATAAATACCATATCCAACAACCACTCGTTGTGTAACCTCTATATCTGCACCTCGTAAAACATATTTCAACAGCAGGTGCATGTACCAAGGTACAGAACACGAGTAGGGCTATAAATGTATATCTGCACAAATACACTTAATGCTTTTTATTAAGTTATATACATATCGATCACGTAGTCCATACCTACCTCTATAACGCAAATATTTTGGCCTTATCTTAGCAACTCAGTGGAAAAGTATATAAGTATTTAGAAATTGTTCAATAACTTCAGAAAAACTTCGAAGCGAATAAAATTAACATTACATCTATGCTCGGGTATACGTAGGGCGTAGGCTACGATTAGCAATGATTATCAGATATTTCCTTAACTTTTAAACGTATTTCATCACAATTCTAACTATTTCATTACTGTTTTAAAGCTATAGCAAAGCTAGAAATTCTTATATTACTTCAGACAGTAGCTAATTTACATTACAGCTATGCTAGGGTAGGGCGTAGGCTACGATTAGCAATGATTATCAGAAAATATCCTTACTTTTAAACGTATTTCATCACAATTCTAACTATTCCATTACTGTTTTAAAGCTATAGCAAAGCTAGAAATTGTTAACTTCAGACGGCAGCCACTAAACATAACAGCTATGCTCGAGTAGGGTGTTTAAATTTAATATATGTCCTCTCGAGGCATGGCTGGTATGTTGAAAACACTCTCAACATGATCAAGATAAATCCAGACAAGGCCAACAACCCGTGTTATCAACTGACGTAAGCCGAAAAATTCGATAAACCAACATAAAGAGGAAATATGTACCAACCGTTACTTGTTTGGGAACCTCTATATATTGTATTGTTGTTATTGTAGAAAAACACTACAACTTACTTTTCAACGTATTTCATTGCTGTTTAAAGCTATATAATAGCTAGACAGTGACAGTCCAAACCCTCATGTTACTACTCCCGCTGTCCAAACCCTCATGTTACTACTCCCGCTGTCCAAACCCTCATGTTACTACTCCCGCTGTCCAAACCCTCATGTTACTACTCCCGCAGTCCAAACCCTCATGTTACTACTCCCGCAGTCCAAACCCTCATGTTACTACTCCCGCTGTCCAAACCCTCATGCTACTGCTCCCGCTGTACAAACTCTCATGTTACTACTCCCGCTATACAAACCCTCATGTTACTACTTCCACTGACCAAACCCTCATGTTACTATTCCCGCTGTCCAAACCCTCATGTTACTACTCCCGCTGTCCAATCCCTCATGGTACTACTCCCGCAGTCCAAACCCTCCTGTTACTACTCCCGCTGTCAAACCCTCATGGTACTACTCCCAATGTTCAAACTTTCATGTAACTGCTCCCTCTGTCTAAACCCTCATGTTACTACTCCCGCTGTCCAAACCCTCACGAAACTACTAGCACTGTCCAAACCCTCATGTTACTACTCGCGCTGTCCAATCCCTCATGTTACTACTCCCGCTGTCCGAGCCCTCATGTTACTACTCCAGCTCTCCAAACCCTCATGTTACTAATCCCGCTGTCTAAACCCTCATGTTACTATTCCCTCAGTCCAAACCCTCATGTTACTACTCCCGCTGTCCAAACCCTCATGTTACTACTCCCGCTGTCCAAACTCTCATGTTACTACTCCCGCTGTCCAAATCCTCATGTTACTACTCCCGCAGTCCAAACCCTCATGTTACTACTCCCGCTGTCCAAACTCTCATGTTACTACTCCCGCTGTCCAAACCCTCATGTTACTATTCCCACTGTCCAAGCCCTCATGTTACTACTCCCGTAGTCCAAACCCTCATGTTACTACTCCCGCTGTTCAAACCCTCATGTTACTACTCGCGCTGTCCAAACCCTCATGTTACTACTCCCGCTGTCCAAACCCTCATGTTACTACTCCCGCTGTCCAAACCCTCATGTTACTACTCCCGCTGTCCAAACCCTCATGTTACTACTCCCGCTGTCCAAACCCTCATGTTACTACTCCCGCTGTCCAAACCCTCATGTTACTACTCCCGCTGTCCAAACCCTCATGTTACTACTCCCGCTGTCCAAACCCTCATGTTACTACTCCCGCTGTCCAAACCCTCATGTTACTACTCGCGCTGTCCAAACCCTCATGTTACTACTCCCGCTGTCCAAACCCTCATGTTACTACTCCCGCTGTCCAAACCCTCATGTTACTACTCCCGCTGTCCAAACCCTCATGTTACTACTCCCGCTGTCCAAACCCTCATGTTACTACTCCCGCTGTCCAAACCCTCATGTTACTACTCCCGCTGTCCAAACCCTCATGTTACTACTCCCGCTGTCCAAACCCTCATGTTACTACTCCCGCTGTCCAAACCCTCATGTTACTACTCCCGCTGTCCAAACCCTCATGTTACTACTCCCGCTGTCCAAACCCTCATGTTACTACTCCCGCTGTCCAAACCCTCATGTTACTACTCCCGCTGTCCAAACCCTCATGTTACTACTCCCGCTGTCCAAACCCTCATGTTACTACTCCCGCTGTCCAAACCCTCATGTTACTACTCCCGCTGTCCAAACCCTCATGTTACTACTCCCGCTGTTATAGTCTCTCATAACTCGTTTTGGGTGCCTTCTAGCACTGTTGATATATTTTAGTTTACAGTGTATGTTGGTTTATGAAATTATATATAACACGTGTGGATTGTTGGAAGGTGATACTTTAATATATATATATCTTTATGTTTCTTGATTAGGTAAGTTAATAGTTGTTCACAATGTCATTACGTTAGACAGAAATTGATGTCCGATAGTCTGTACTGATAAAGTGAATAGATTAATAGAATCTTCTATACCCTTTGGGGTAAGATAGGGGAACTGTATTCCAAGGGTTGAGATTTACCATCTCAACGTAAGAGATAGAATCATTTTTTTGTCTTGACCCTGTCATATTCGTCATGCAATGTTGACGTAACATGCTCGGCCCATTGCCTATTTGACGTTTATGCATTATTGACGTGACTGTAGCTGGCTCGGTCAATGATTGAAGCTTACTAATGATGAGTTTGAATTTCGTTTATTCATCAACGTAAGAACTGAAAATAAACAAATAGCAATCATAAGTGATACGCACAACATAGCTGTATACTTATATTACACTTCTAAAGGTCAAGGCACGGAATTAGATTATCTAAGTCCGTGGTCAAGGTAAATCTCAATAATCTATATGACCTTTTACGCCATATAGAATCAACCCAATATTAACTCGCAATGTTCCAAATACACCCCAACACAGACATGGTACTATACAAAAAATCATATCTATGCAGTTTACCACTTTCACATTACAGCGGTATACATTCACAAAAAAATGCCATTATAAAGGTTGTGTCGTTATATAGATATAACGAATGGCATTATAAAGAAAGTTGACAAAATATCAATGACCTTATATTGGATAATTACTTGGTACTTGACATGCATATATATGTAGGTTGAATTATATTAAATTGTATTATGTAATTAATCAATGAAATTATTACAGTAAAATAATTTCACAATTAAATCCTTTTCTTTTGCACAACCTCATACACTCAAAAATGTAGCTATGAGAAGTTTCATGTGACAAGGGAGATAACTCTAGTGAAAAGTTTACAACACATGTTTTATGAATTGTTTAAAATGATTTACACCGAGAAAAATATTTTTCACTGGGAAACTGTAATTTTCTCCCATCTCCGGATTATTTGTAAAGCCTAAATCGATGCCTCTTGTCAGCGTAGTTACATTGTAATTGATGCTTTTAATAATAATAATACTAATTCGAGGTTCTTATATGCCGCTTTATCACAACCTAGTTCGTAGGTCAAAGCGGTTTACACGTAATTATACGTGGTTATAGGGACTTTGCAACTAGACAATACCTTGGGAGCATAGTCATTTCGGCACTCACAGCTAGCATTCAACAAATTCCAGCACTGCCCAACCACGTTCTCATTTACAGCTGAGTAGACCGGAACAAGCGGAGTAAAGTATCTTGTTCAAAGATACAACACATTGCCGTGATATGACTCGAACCCGCAACCCTTCGGTCACGATCTCGGCGTCCTACCACTAGATTACCGTGCCTCAATTAAGTGCGAAGGGGATGTGACTCCAATTTGATAATTAAACAACTTTCTGTCAAATTGATAAGAATTTGCTAAAAACATGAAATATTGCGATTACACCGACAGGGGCCTGGACTTTTCTTAACGTAGGTATGTTTGGACTTAAAATGACGTATAGAAAGTAACATTAGACGTCAAAAACCTTATATTTTTGTTGTATTACTATACATTTTCTTTAAAAAATAATTAAAATGTGCTTCCTACGAATTTCAAGGTTTAATTTCGAACTGATCAACAGTACCCCAATCGAATAACCATTTTCTACCCATTGGTTACATAAGCAAAACTTTGATTTAGTAGTAAGTTAATTCAACACAATATACGAACATGTATGAACTAGAAATACGGTGTACAGAATACGGTGTACAGAATACGGTGTACAGAAGTGCTTTATACTTGGGTTCATATATTGCATGGAAGATGGCCTAATTATGAGCATTTTATTAAGGCAGTAATTCAGTGGTATTAATGAAAGAGGTAATTCTGGAAAATCAATTATCACAACGTAGTGTTCAACAACAATGGACTCTTACTGAACTGCCATATTGTACCGTGTTAGCCGGTACAGATGGTGATATAACACAACGTAGTGTTCAACAACAATGGACTCTTACTGAACTGGCGTATTGTACCGTGTTAGCTGGTACAGATGGTGATATAACACAACGTAGTGTTCAACAACAATGGACTCTTACTGAACTGGCGTATTGTACCGTGTTAGCCGGTACAGGTGGTGGTATAATACAACGTAGTGTTCAACAACAGGGGACTGTTACTGAACTGGCGTATGGTACTGTGTTAGCCGGTACAGGTGGTGGTATAACACAGCGTAACATAAAATTACCAAACAATGACAAACTCAAACCTTGTATATTTCCATATTTCTTATTGCTTTCTACTTCTTTATAACGCATGTTTGATACCCATTCCATGTCACTATTGAAAACATCTATTTAAATACATTACCTCTATATTGATATCCGTTTCACACATTACAATAAATAAATATCGTTTCCAGATTAATTCTAGACTTTTAACTGCATTACCCCCATCCGGGTACCGTTAAAGACGTTTCTACAATTAAAATATCGCTTTAATTGTATTACCTCTCCTGGTCGCCTCTCCAGATATTACTAGCAGTGTAAAAACAAGTCTATTCCTTTCGACCAATTTCGAGTTACTGCGGTAGATTATTAGCATTTAGATGACAAAAATTTGCTACTCTTTACTCTCTGCTAATAATCTTCTGGTACAAAGAGACAAACAAATATGTTAGGGAGAGGAACAAAAGTTGTTTTGAGTGATTTGAGGACACACGACTCTATAACTAAATATGTGAATATGGGTTACTGGTTAATCCTATCATACTAAATGTACCATATCTTACATGTACAGGCGATATCACGTTGGCTATCTTATCAACATGTCGGTAACAATGACTGTTTAGCTCAAAGTACACATTTGAGGCCGCTTTATTTTGTTTCCTGATAAGTTTAAGTATAACACTTGTATACTTCTAAACATGATATTATTTCGTTCCTGATACGATGATTTAGATAGTAGTGGAACTGGAAATCAATTGCAGCTTATATAAATTAGTTCAGGGTGAATGATGTTTTCAGACAAGGTAAGTCTTTCTCAATCTATGCAAGTTAGAAGTTTGAAGAAACTTTAAAAGACTATTAAGACGTAATTAGCTTCATAACAGGTATATATATTTACCGAGTTAATACGAACAATGCTATTTAAGTTACATTAAGTTATATTTGTCCCTTTTGCTTCCGTCCCGTAATTGATATTTCTACACAAATCATGTCAGTACAAAGTCTTTCTGATAAAAGAATAAGCATTTCATTAAATAATAACGTACATTTGATGGTTGTAATAAAGAGAAATACTAATTACCAAGGCAGCTTTCCCTACTATCACACGACAAGGGACATAGGTAACCAGCTGCAATCTTGGATGCAAGTTCTTGCTTTAGCTAATTTATATACTGGCGACACTGTACACGTTAATATGTGAGGATCCCCCTTCCTTGTTCTTTATCGCCATAGAAGTACTTCCTGTGGACATTGCTAGTATTGAGTGGATATCGAATCTCAAGTGGACAATTCCATCCGGAGTTCTGTACCCCACTTCCAGGAAATTTAACAAAAGGTAAGTAATCACCTTTAAAGCTGAATGTATTTTGTATATTAGATACTGGATTCTCATTGTTAGACATCGGGCTATACACCACTCATATTTTGTGTGTTAGATACTGGAATCTCATAGTCAGAAACTAGATTATATATCACTTATATTTTGTGTTTTAGAATTATAACCTCGTAGTTAAAAAGTGGGTAATATATAATCCATGTTTGTGAGTGAGATACTTGGATGTCAGGGTTAGATATCTCTATATTACTCATATTTCGTCAGACACATACTTTCCCGTTAAAGATATATTATGGATATTTCGACATATCATGACTGATAATAATTCAATGATTCTGTTTATTTAACGAAATCAAGTACTCGTGACCATGAGGTGATACAGGTTTCAGTTTCGCTTCTTTCCTATTGCAAGATATAAGAAAACATGAACAAAGGAAATTTTGATGAGGCGTTTATGTATGTTTATGTGTTTATATTCAAATTAACGATTTTTTTTTTATATTACAATGAACATACATATCTGTGAAACAATTAAATATTTCGTCAATCATAATGTTTTCAAATCATGATTCAACACAGAATGTTTTAAAAGATTTTTGTTATATGAAAGTCACATTTTCATAGTAAATAAATATTACAACATACAATCATATATCTTTACACGCTATGTTAAATCCCTCAGACATTGACTTCATTGTTTCAGGGCCTGTTCTACCTACCCTGAGTAACCAGTATTACACCACTGCGGAATGGCGTCAGATGAGTTCCGAAAAGTCTGTGTACATACAGGAGTACTTTGATGAGCCTGGACAAAGGGCAGTGGTCAAAGCGACTGGGCTGTATGACCCGGGAGACACTGTGATAAACATGAATTATTATAACACAAAGGAGAGACTCTACATTCAAGGTAGAAGGCAACTATACGCTTTACATACATTAACCGTTATAAGACAAATGATTGAGGAAACAATTCAAGCAGAAATGCATGATTTATTATAAACAAGGGCCTTTATAAGAACAATTTGAAAAACTGGACAATAAACGAATAACGCCATTATTTATTAAAAAGGTGAAACTTTACAATGCTAGCAAGCAACCACCAAAAAAACATGATACGAAATGTTTGTTATTTCGAAAAATCTTCTGAATAGGTATTGAACCATAAGAATGCTTAATAATTATTGAAAATCTTATCACTAAACAGTTATTGGAAAAAAAAGACCACTGAACAATAATTGAAAAATAAGACCGCTAAACATTTATTGAAAAATAATACCACTGGGCAGTAATTAAAACATAAGACCATTGAACAGTAATAAAAACATTAGACCACTGAACAGTAATAGAAACAAAAGACCACTGAACAGTAATTGAAACATTAGACCACTGAACAGTAATAGAAACAAAATACCACTGAACAGTAATAGAAACATTAGACCAATGAACAGTAATAGAAACATAAGACCACTGAACAGTAATAGAAACATTAGACTTCTGAACAATAATAGAAACATAAGACCACTGAACAGTAATAGAAACATTAGACCACTGAACAGTAATAGAAACAAAAGACCACTGAACAGTAATAGAAACATTAGACCACTGAACAGTAATAGAAACATAAGACCACTGAACAGTAATTCAAACATAAGACCAGTGAACAGTAATAGAAACATGAGACCACTGAACAGTAATAGAAACATAAGACCACTGAACAGTAATAGAGACATAAGACCACTGAGCATTAATAGAAACAAAAGACCACTATAAACAGTAATAGAAACATAAGACCAATGAACAGTAATAGAAAAAATATTAAACCACTGAACAGTAATAGAAACATAAGACCAATGAACAGTAATAGAAAAAACATTAGACCACTGAACAGTAATAGAAACAAAAGACCACTATAAACAGTAATAGAAACATAAGACCAATGAACAGTAATGGAAAAAATATTAAACCACTAAACAGTAATAGAAACATAAGACCAATGAACAGTAATAGAAAAAACATTAGACCACTGAACAGTAATAGAAACAAAAGACCACTTAACAGTAATAGAAACATTAGACCAATGAACAGTAATAGAAACATAAAAACACTGAACAGTTATTCAAACATAAGACCAATGAACAGTTATAAACAGTTACAGAAGTAGTAGAATTATAAACAGTTACTGAAGAAGTAGAATTCTAAACAGTTACATAAGTAGTAGACTTCTAAAAAGTTACAGAAGTAGTAGAATTCGAAACAGTTACTGAAGTAGTAGAATTCTAAACAGTTACAGAGATAGTAGAATTCTAAACAGTTACAGAAGTAGTAGTATTCTAAACAGTTACAGAAGTAGTAGAATTCTAAACCAGTTACAGAAGTAGTAGTATTCTAAACAGTTACAGAAGTGGTAGAATTCTGAACAGTTACTGAAGAAGTAGAATTCTAAACAGTTACAGAAGTAGTAGAATTCTAAACAGTTACTGAAGAAGTAGATTTCTAAACAGTTACAGAAGTAGTAGAATTCTAAACAGTTACTGAAGTGGTAGAATTCTAAACAGTTACAGAGGTAGTAGAATTCTAAACAGTTACAGAAGTAGTAGTATTCTAAACAGTTACAGAAGGAGTAGAATTCTAAACAGTTATTGAAGTGGTAGAATTCTAAACAGTTATTGAAGTGGTAGAATTCTAAACAGTTACAGAAGGAGTAGAATTCTAAACAGTTGCAGAAGTAGTAGTATTCTAAACAGTTACAGAGATAGTAGAATTCTAAACAGTTACAGAAGTAGTAGAATTCTAAACAGTTACAGAAGTAGTAGTATTCTGAACAGTTACAGAAGTAGTAGAATTCTAAACAGTTACTGAAGTAGTAGTATTCTGAACAGTTACAGAAGAAGTAGTATTCTAAACAGTTACAGAGGTAGTAGAATTCTAAACAGTTACAGAAGTATCAGAATTCTGAACAGGCATTGAAATAATAGAATTCCTAACACTTATTGTAGCACTATCGTGATGTTAAGATTTCGGCATTAAAAGTTTGATGTGATGAAATTAAGCATTTTGTCATAGTTTAAAAATATGCTCTAAAACTTTTCGATGTGTAGAACATGTGTTAATAAAAAACGTCTTTACTGGAAAATAAACTGACTCTAAAGATCAGCTATAGTTATTTTTCAATTTTGCACCAAAATATGAAAAGTTTTTATTTTCAACAGGGGGTTCGTGTACAGCAGATCAATTGGATACCGAAGGTTTTTTTGGATTTCCCTATACCGAGCAGAACAAGACAGGTTTTATGACAATTATTTATTTATTTGTAAAATGAAAATAAAAAGTCAATCTTAATTTCAATTCAAAGATTGCTTAAACACGCCAATCGATATATATTTAATTGAATATCAAACATTAAGCTTACTCTCAATTTTATTAAGTCCTGGATATATTCATGTTTAATGCATTTACAGTTTTGTTTGATTTCTTTGAACCATTGAAAAAGACGACATAAATATAGTAATTGAACCAAACTATCAAAACCTGACGTGGAATTATATTGGATATTTGAGTAAACATGATTTATATTTTAATAAATGTAGAATCTTTATAATGATGGTTCATTTGTTTCATACTTAGCACATTTGCTGAATGCTAATGACGCGCTCGAGTTCGGCCGAATGTTTAACGAAACTTATCTCGGAACTGACACCATACGTGACATTCCCGTCTACCATTGGAGGAGCTGTGGTTACCATGACTACCTAAAGACGATGGTAGAAATCGACTTCTACTTTTCTAGTTAGTATAACTTTATATATCACAAAACTTCACCTGTAATAAATTTACATTACCTCTATTGTAATATATCTTAGTACTGGCCTCGATTTATAATTCATGTTGAATGTTTTGGCAATTTTTAATGACGAATAGAATTGATTTCGAGTCATACAGCGCGGGAAGGAGTTCAAGATGTGAAATACTAAGCTACGATGATTTTGTCAAAATATTCTGTCTTTCAATATGAGTTCATCACGCCATATTGTTAGTTGTGACATATACAAAAGAAAATTGGTAAAATTATGAAATAGGTAAAATGAGGAATAAACATCCTCGAATGGCAATACCGTTATAATAAACATCCTCGTATGGCAATACCGTTATAATAAACATCCTCGTATGGCAATACCGTTATAATAAACATCCTCGTATGGCAATACCGTTATAATAAACATCCTCGTATGGCAATACCGTTATAATAAACATCCTCGTATGGCAATACCGTTATAATAAACATCCTCGTATGGCAATACCGTTATAATAAACATCCTCGTATGGCAATACCGTTATAATAAACATCCTCGTATGGCAATACCGTTATAATAAACATCCTCGTATGGCAATACCGTTATAATAAACATCCTCGTATGGCAATACCGTTATAATAAACATCCTCGTATGGCAATACCGTTATAATAAACATCCTCGTATGGCAATACCGTTATAATAAAGATACGTTTCTCATCCTCATCTTCCCACGTATGTTTTACTTTTATAGTGTAATCCTCTTATTTTGAAGGAAAGTGGTCCAGGTGTTGTTCGTTTTGTTCAATTTCAATAAATTTTATTGTCAAAGGACAAATGGATTGGGCAGCAGGCATAGCCTATTTAAGCCCTCACCAAACACAGTAACAAACAGTGGTACAAGCATAGACATAGACATTAGAACACATACAAACACATATAAACAAGTTGGTATTATCAAATTAATAATCAAATTAGGGGAAACAACTACTAATACTCATTTTTGTTATAATTGAATCTAATGGTTTAAATTCTAACCTTTTATTTTGATATTGAAAAGACATATAAAATATATACCGGTATAAACATATTATGAAGAGTAAAGAAAAATAATTTGTTGATGGAGCTGCATCTATAAACATTTGATAGGATTAAATTACCGCACCCAACAGATACAGGCCAAAAAGTCCATTGTATCACACAAGGCCATCCACTGATGAGTTTGGAAATTCAATCCCACCAAATAGTTTAATTTATGCATATTAAACACAGGTTAGATATATAATTAACATGTTGTAAAGCTTTATATTCTTATTTATGTAGTTGTTTCCCAATATTTTTTAATAAAATAGTATAACTGGTCTTCTGAACCCCAGCCCCCCTCACTAACAATATTTAAAAATAAACAATGAAGACAAATAGGAAATATTAATATTAATATTCATGTACCATTTCTGGAAATCAGAAGAATTACATTGAGAAAAAATAAAATGTAAATAAATAAAGTGTAAATAAATAAAATGTAAAATTTCATTCAAAATTGAAGTTAAATGTCCTGAATCTTCTAGAACTTAAAATGTAATTGGATATAGATAGGAGAATATGTTTATTTTCATTTTCATCACATCTCTCACAACCATTTAGCATGACATCTAATGATAAATGGTTGTGAGTTTCATGGAATATATTCGGAAAAAGTAGAATACGATCTTCAGTGTATTTGATACAATCATGGAAGTAATGAGATGCTGTTTCAAATCTAGAACCACAAGAACATGCAGAGGACTCAGTAAGATAATCTTTCTGACGGTCATTATTTAGGTTACTGGCCTCATTTCTCAACTGACAGAGAATAATACTAGTTTCCCTATTTCCTAAAAACTTAAAGACATCAGTTGTTCTTGTGTTTGAATTTGGAATAGGTGTTATTAACTTTTTGAACTGATAGGTGGAACGAATATTTTGAAGGTCTGAAGCGATATTATTTATTTCATTAAACATGGATGGAAAAAAGCTATTAGAATAGTTAACAGTTCGACAAAGAGGAGGATCAAATATTCTAACTGATCTAAGGGGATATCTAGCTAGTGTGGGATCATGAAAATGTGACTCAGTGATTTCTTTCAGATAATACGGAGTTTTATTATTCATTATCTTGTACATCAGCATCAATTTATGTTGTTTTCTCCTACTTTCAAGAGGAACACAGCCTAATTCTTTGTACAAGATATTGTGTGTGTAATGACAGTCTGTCTAGTTTATGTTTCATCATCCTTAAAATATTAATTCTTTTGTATGCTTTTTGGTAAATATCATAAATGTGGTCATTCCACTTAGCATCATCACTGAATGTCAAGCCAAGATGTTTATGTGGTTAGCTGACAGTAACAGGTTCATCATAAAAATATACATTTGGGTGATGAGTATTCAGGTTTTTAGAGAATATAACAGATTCTGTTTTATTTGGATTAAATTTAATATCCCATTTATTAGCCCAGAGTTGTATATTACTGAGATCATCTGTTAGGTTTTGTGCTAACTCGATTGGATCATCGTCTGTTAAAGCGTATAGAGAAGTGTCATCAGCAAACAGTTTAGTTTCATGAGAAACACAGTCAACAATTTCATTAATATAAAGTAAAAACAAAAGTGGCCCGTGAACCGAGCCCTGTGGTGCCCCTGCATTTCGTTTTGTTAAAGGCAATCTGCGGTTTAATTCTTATTGATAACATCAATTTGATAATGGTATTATATTAAACATGTTTCCATCCGATCCTAGAAATAGGGATATATATATTCGCATTTGGTCACTGTATACATTACTTGCGTGCATGGTCAGTTCCAGGTGAGTGGGAGAGTGCGTCCGGAGTGTCCAGTGTGCCAGTTCGAAGCGTCATCAGACGCCGAGAGAGTACCACAACCCAACAGCCTGTACAGACGATCGTATGGTCCGAAACAGAGGAATATGATTACCTTTATTTCCAGGAGGGACTGCCATCCGATCTCACTGTCTTTCAGGTGTTTATCTATAATTTCATTTAAACTACAATTTAAGGGTATTGATTCTACCTGATAATTACAGGACCTGACTTTATTATTTCATTATTTAACCATTATTTTATCAATCCAAATTTTCCGCGTCTTCATCAGTACATCAAATCTCGACAGGTTTATAAACTTGAAAGTCTTTATTTTGTATCTTAAAAATTATGTGAAGCAATGTACCTTACCCGATAGATAATGCTGTTTATATATATAATTACTAGATAGATAATGCTGTGTATATATATAATTACTAGATATATAATGCTGTGTATATATATAATTACTAGATATATAATGCTGTTTATATATATAATTACTCGATAGATAATGCTGTTTATATATATAATTACTAGATATATAATGCTGTGTATATATATAATTACTAGATATATAATGCTGTGTATATATATAATTACTAGATAGATAATGCTGTTTATATATATAATTACTAGATACCAATCTAGATATCCCAAGATCAAAAAAATAAACACTGCGCATACATTTATAATTTCTCATCCAACCGCAAAAATGTCAATTTAAATAATCATTTCCTCAGTAAATTGTGTTCCACATTGTTGATGGTATTTATTGTTTAAATGTGATAAAAGAAAACGCTTAACAATCTTTCCCTTTTAGATTCCCGAAGGTGTTTATTGTACGAACAGACCGAATGATAAAACTATACCGATAGTCGCGGGCTATTTCAGCTTCAAAGCGGAAGTGACCTTTAGCAAAGACAACGTAACGGGAATACTAAACGTAAGATATTACATAGTAATACATATTTATAAATGATAATATTTGGTAGATACATATCCTAATTTGAATTTTGCAAAGACTAACATTATAGTAAGGTTCGTGGTTTGATGTGAAAAAAATTCAACAATTTCAACTTTATATGTATGCAAATTGTATAAATAGATGTATTTAAGTTAAAGATTAAGCTAACTTAATAATAATATTATTATGACCAGATTTTGAAAAATATGCACTTAATTGAATGCATGCATTATAACTTTCAGTCTATAAGATTTTTATATTTTTTTTCCACAGGAATGGTATGATTACAAAACTCAGGTGGTCCGAGTGGATTCTGAGAACATTCCAAGTCCGTACATTGTAACGGCGGGAACCCAGGACCCAATACAGCAGATTCATGATTTCTTCTCGGGTCTGTTTTGCTTGTTTTTGAGTACAACCATATTCAAAGTTAATATGACATTTATTTATGCAATTAGAGACTGTTTAATGACAATGCAGCAGATTTAATCAACATCCTAATTGTCATCGTCAATACTGTCACATTGATGCTTTCGTTATATATTGATGTTATGTCTATCATAATTTATACAAATTGCCAACTTAATAAAGTTTCAGATGTATTCCACGGTAATTTGTTTCACACCAGTATTGTCATTTTTGACACCGATATCATTGTTACAGATTTCAAGTGTTTTGATAAAAATAAAAATGATAATTAAATGATATCATCCTTTTGTAGGTCTAAGCTATAACATCGATGGAGTCACGGGGGAATGTCACGTGACTCCAATATCACAGCATGGTTTTGATGTGCGGTACATTGACCCTAATCACGTGACCATTAAATCCCCGCAACAGTTCTTCGATCTTGGAAACAAGAGCGCTCAGTACGTTGGACAGGTGTGTTATACTATCAGTGTCTAATACTTTTTATACATATACGAGTGTTTTATACTAAATATACGAGTGTTTTATACTAAATATACGGGCGTTTTATACTAAATATACGGGCGTTTTATATGGATCACAAGACTTCTTTATAGTTTAAATATGATAATTGTTTTTATTGTGAACGTTGGACTTAACTGAGCCTGGATTATTTTTGAGGCACCATTAGCCATATTGAACATGATATTTTTATGGAGCATACAATGTACGTCTACTTTATATACTGAAGGAAGAACATGTTTATGCTTAACATACGGCTAGTTCATACACTTAACATATTACTATTTTATTCACTTGGCATAGGGCTTGTTCATTCACTGAACATATGTTCAGTGAATGATCTATGTTTTGCTATTTCATACACTAACAAATGACTATTTTATACACCGAACAAATAATGTAGGGCTATTTCATATACTGACAGGGCTAATTCATACACTGAACATAGGGCTATTTCATACACTGACAGGGCTATTTCATACACTGAGCATAGGGCTATTTTATACACTGAACATAGGGCTATTTCAAACACTGACAGGGCTATTACATATACTGACAGCGTTATTTCATACACTGAACATTTGACTATTTTAAACACTCATAGGGCTATTTCATACACTGAGCAAAGGGCTATTTCAAAACTAACAGGTCTATCTCATACACTGACAGGGCTATTTCATATACTGACAGGCTATTTCTTACATTGAGCAAAGGGCTTTTGCATACACTGAGCAAAGGGCTTTTGTGTGCTGAACATATTATTATTTCCTTTACAGAGAACCGTCCGTGACATTCCATGTGATGTTTGGGTGGCAACGAGAACAAACTACCCGCCGAACTCTAACGAAACAACAATTTGGGAATGGTATTTTTCTCATGTATGTCTCATAGGATAGCGTGCTAAAATAATCTATATGACTTATATCTAAATTAAATTATCTTCACTAAGTTAGAATTTAAGATAAGGGTGGTCGGGTTGCGCAGTCAAAAACGCACGGGCCTTTCACCAAGGCGGCCGGGGTTCGATTACTCATTCGGATGTGAATGTGTCACATGACTGACCACGTTGGTTGTCTCCGGGTACTCCGGTTTCCTGCCAAACTAAGGCTTGTTGTGCCTCACAAAATATCGAACGTGATTGTTTCCACGTTACATATAAACCCGTCGCAAAGTTACATTGTAACAAAATGTATCTATTGTTGTTGAAATACGAAGTAAAAGTAGGGAAACGTCCATTTTCAGAGAAAAAATAGTGTGTCGATACAGCAGCCCGAAGGCAACCTTTAACCGCACTTTATGGTTATTCCGTCTACTTAAGATTCATCAACGATACTAAAGGACAACATCATGAAATTATACGTCGAAAGTGCTTCCACTTACATGAAGAAATAAGTTTAAAGAGTTAAAGTGTCTATGGAAACCCGTTATTGCTTTACAGATTTGCTGATACCAATTAAATATATAGATGCCATATTAAGTGGTGTGTACAAAATAACGAATAGATTACAGTAGTATTGAAATTGAATATAACTCATTTATACATTATTTTTCTATAATGTACTAAACCTCAGCTAATTTGTTACGCTTTCTTTATCGTAAATGGACATTGATTAACAATTGGTTTATTGGAGTATAGGGGAATTGGAAAATCAGCCAGGCATCAGGAAATCACATACAACGACCACTGAAAATAGTCATTACGTTTACAAAGGTACTTTTATCAAAAACAATATAATAGGATATTTGACTTCACCATTCACTTATAATTGCAACAGGTATCAATTTCCTTAAATCTGTGAAATCAGACATGTCATTATTTTGTTATTTCAAAGTAAAGTTTACTTGACTAGTTATAAAACAGGTAAGTAAAACTGCGTTCACTCGTTCGTACTACTATCAGCAAAACTGTTAAAAACACGTGTTCTTATTGCTTTAATGAGAAATGTACCTGAGGTTTTTTTTCTTTTCAGAATAATGCTAAAATAATATATAATATTTTCGACTTTGAAACAAAGAGGCCAGAAATTTCTCCATTCAATGTACACCCGTGCTACAACGAGACCAACATACGATATGTGAGGCTCAATTTTACAGGTCTGTATGAAAATATTGAAAATCCGTCAAATTTATGCGAGGCCTTTTTCCTCCTCCGCCTTTTTCGTATTCTTCTTGTTTTTGTTCTTTTTGTGTTACCAATGTTCATATATCGAAAATCTGCTGTACACCAATAGAAATTGTACATTATTTAAGCGCCTAATTCACAATTCTGAAAAGGGTCTTTCATAAACAAGTAGGAGGGACAAGGTAGAACAGGTTTCACTTTCTCCATCATCTGCAAGGTTCGTGTGTCCCATGTGGAACCAACACATGTAAGATAACTCTGTGCCTTTAGCAAAGCGGAATCGAACAGGTAAAACAAAATTGAACAATGAAGGAAAGATAAATCGATACTTTTCCCGATGTAAGATATCTTTGTCTTACCCGAGGGTTAAGACAAAGGGATTCTCTAGTAAGAGCAATTTGATAATGTCAATTCAACATTGTAGCAATGAATTTACGTCATTATTGTGTAATTTTGACAAGGTCAACAGGAAAGTGAGAGAAAAAGACTTCTTTGGAATCTAAAGGGAAGATTTTTTTATCAAACGTAGCTGAAACCGGCGACCTTCCCCAGTAACTTTATTTCTATAAAGTTTGACTAGGAATGGCTTAAACAAATCATTTCAAGTATCCAAAATAGTCTGTATCTTGTCGGCTTCCGTTAAGAAACGCGAAGTACATGTAATTTCAGTGTGATACATTATTGTCATTTTCATCAGCGGTAGAAAGCTACCAATTTGCGCAATCACACATCATATCGTATCGTTATATGGAACTCGTCAATCATTTAACAAGTTTAACAAGTTGTATGTGACGCTTTTGCCGATTATTTTTATTTCTACACCTTTTTAATAGTCTGATATAATTATTGCTGAAATCATTTTTCGATTTTTGTATTGTATTGAATCATCTGCTCAATAAAGTTTGGTTCATTAATAGAAATAAACAATCTAATATATTTCTTTTACAAGCCACGTTCTTTATTTGGACATTTTTATTCATCGCTAATGAGTGTTCAGTATATAGTTGCCTTGCTATGAAAACAGATATTTAAATTAATTTAAAACACAAACGTCAGCACCCCCTCTGGGATGTCCAATATTATTTTAGAAAACATGATTCGTTTCCCCAGGTCCTCTACTACTGGTGTCGCCACATCCACAACTTGTAAAACAGAGTGCCCATGTGGCTCTTCAGAAAGTGATGCGGGTGTCGATGCTTCGTGTAATAGGAATACAGGTACACACTATATTTACTCCACAAATACAAATGCAGACGAGTACTAAGAGCTTTCAGAACGGCTAGTTATCCAGTTAATTTTACGGATTAGTGCCTTTGATTTCTTGAATAATGAAATAATTTTTAAAAAGCGGTAAACAGTTGCTAATACTAACTAACTCTACATAAAAACCACAATAATTCCCGATTTTATGATATTCTTTTGGGCAAGGAACCAACGGAATATAACATCTTCATAATCTAAAAATAGAAGCACTTTACAGTACTTCGTTTAAGGTCGCCTCTTGGCAACATTATTTGCCCGGTTAGAGAATGCGAATCCTAAAGAAAAGCTTAAACAAGTCCCCGCAGTCAGTGAACTTGACAAATGGTATTATTTATAGTATACAAAATATAAAGGTACAATCTTGTGTCAGAGTGTATTAAGAGATATCAATAAACACATTTTTAACATCGTTTTCGTTATGCAAATATTCTAGACAGAGGGTGTTTTCGAGCTATGATTACTTAGTTTAAAGAAAATGGTTAAGTCTATAAGTGAAAACTGTTTTATGTACCTACAAAAATAATAAGGGATTTTTCTACATTAACCATTTATTAACCATTGACCTATTTAGAAGTCTGAATCAAATTACCCCATTTCTGGGAGTGGAAGCAGCACCTGCAATTCCAACGGGGTACTTGAACGCTTTAGACATTTTGAAAGTTTTCAAGCTGACTATATGATTCTAATAAGTATTTGATAATTAAGTCAACATTGATACTTGTATACATATAGTTAAAGGGTCATCATGAATTGTATTGTTTCTGCCGACGTTTATGGTGTCGCACTGTGATAAATAATTCCTTGTTTTCCAGACTGTGTTTGATAACTACGGACTATACATTGGCTTTGTTCTATTTGGACCACCGGAAGTCGATGGTAATTGGAAAGGAAAAGTTAACATCACCTCACTAGAAGATGCCTTCAACAATTTGAGAAAAAACACAAATAGGGGTTCCTTTCAATTTGCAGTAAATGTAATAGAAAATAATATTATACAGGTGCGTTAGATTATATAACAATTTGTCAATACGTGTTATATGCATAAATATGGGTGTGTGTTGGGAACTTACTGCTTCTCCACTGGACTGGTAATGATCACTATTATGTGTTTGCTATGAACCATCTATTATGACAACCTATGACTATACCTGTTAGGTGAACGTTTAGCTTTTATTAGTTCTGTCGATGTGAAATAGTACAACAAATAAGTTAATTCAACCTATGTATCCTCAGCTATGTTTACAATGGCTATATGGTTAGGCAATAACTTACTGTGCTTTGTGCCATAAATTTGAAAATAACAATGCTTGTGAGATCCAAACTGTGCCGCATGCAAAATACGTATAAATTCATACATTCAAAAATTATGTATAAGTATTTAACTAGTGCAGAAACAAATAAGTGTGGTTTAAGGGTGTACAAATTGTGTTCGTTATTTGTTTTGCTTATCAGTATAATCTATAATATCAAAAACCAAAAACTGTTTATATATCTATATCGCATGTGTTTACAACAGTCGGGTCATTTTCATGCCGTCCCAAATTCAGTCCGAGTAGCAATGAAAGATGAGGATGGCAAAATCGTGGATATCATCACTAAGAGTAGTACGCAACAAACGATGACGTCAGAAACTACGACAACGAAACAAAGCACACATCATTCCCATACATACAGAACGCCACATAAAGGACCAACACCGAAACCCTCAATTTCAGTTCCAACATCAGGTAGGTTTATCATGTTTGCCCGTTGGCTTAACGGAGTCATTTGTATTAGTTCGAAATCTTCTGGTTCTTCTTCCAATACCATTTATCCGGACCGTAAAGCGTGAGATATGTCTTGATGGTGTGCACTACACTCATATAAAGTTATGTGACATTCAACTTTCGTTTAAATGTCCAATAAGTTTCAGATACATCTTGAACAGTTTGTCGTTAGGCATGGTGAAGATGTATAAGCCGTTCATCGTTTCCTAAGATACAACTTCGACCAATACAACTGAATAAATGGAGGAAGAATTTTCAGGGAATATATTAACACCAGTAATTTTCTGGATTCAGAAAACAAATTTACTAAAAGATGTTACGTATGTGTCATTACGATATATTTTGGATGATTGGAGAAAACAATTATTTTCCAGCATCTGGAAACTCAACACCATTGTCATCACCTCAGCATACAGCGCCATCATCTCATACAGGCATGAGTGGAGGTATGTGTTTACTAATAATCGACTCATGCTATATAATCCAGTTAGTCTGGTCCTTTCCTGATTGCCATTAGGAACGCCTTTTTGTTATGTAAGGACTCCGACGTTATGGTACCTTTTTCTTATGAAGTTATAGAATTTCATTCTAGAAGCTTACTTAAAGATGTTTGGAATTTTGTTCGTTTGTTTATTTTCTTACTTATTTATTTATTTTTATTTCCCTAGTATCAAAAGCCAATATGAAGTTCTCTGGACCCCGACAAAATAAAAGTCTTAAATCCAGTAACGACTTCTTAATTTTCGTATTTATACCTCAAAATATCACCTACTGTTATTGGTGTGTAGAAGTAGTTGGAGCGTTTTTAATTCAATTATCCAAGTTAACGTTGACGATAACGTACAACAGAACAGGAGATTGCTTGTACTACATGTATGGCAGTTCGTATTTCTCAATCACGTTTAGTTTTGAGGTTTTAAGAGCGAAATATTCAACCGGTCGTCACTTTTCATAAATCTTACAAAACATTACTACGTTCACTGCTTCATCCAGAGAGAAAGAACAAACTCATTCTTTCTCCACTCCATTCCTACTGCACTAACCTACAACACAAATCATAGCCCTCATTCCAATTCAAATATGTGATCTGAAACCTATCCCAAGACAAGTATATGTAACCTGTATAAAGTGAAAACAATCTATATATCAAACCTAGTACATCCTTAAAACCTGTATAATAAAATAAGATCTTTCGCTTTGTCCTGTTGAATACATTCCAATAATAATTGACCTTGTGTAATAGAGAAATCATTCTATATTGATTGGTTTGTTGACGTTGTGTCTGTTCTGATGACGTTGTGTCTGGTTTGATGACATTTTGTCTACTCTGTTACAGGTGCCGTGGCAGGTTTATCAGTAGCTATGGTTATCGTCGGAGTGTTGATAGGTGCAGCCGCAGCTATATTATATATTCGTAGAAAATATCCGAGTGATTTTGAGATGTCAGAGTTTCGCTGAATAATTTCTTATTAGAAATAACTAATACGGTTGATTTTGATTTTGATTTGTACATGATTTATAATAAAAGAATTGTTGCAAAAATGAAGTGTACTTATTTTCCTTTTAAAACGCTATGACTGAACGCAGGACCAGTTTTACCTTCAATAGTCATGGCAGCAATTTTAGGTTGATTATAAATGCAATGAACCTTATCTTTTGTAACATTGCATGAGAAAACAAATTCCGCTGGGTTACATGATTAATTCTACATCAGTTATGAAACAGGTACTGTCGACATATATAAACGGTATCGTTGCGGGACCAGATGATAACACACATGTGGTTTTAATGCCAGAAGGAATCGGTGTACCACGTGATAATATCGTTGTCAAGCCGCTAATCTGTTCACGTCCGATTGGGGAATCGAACCCCAGCCATCGTGGGAAATAGCGAGTGTATTATCCACTACCTTATTCGACCACTCTAAACTTTACCCTTGAAATAATGTACAGGGTAAAGTATTGTGTACAATTGGTTCAATGAAGGAAGTGTGTGCAATCATTTTTATATTTCAGTCGACTGTGGGTTTCTGTGACCAACTGCAATTGCATGTAACTATAAGTTATAAAAATGAAGACTCGACATGTCAGGCAGTAATTGACATAGTAGGTAAACTGAAAAGCCTGGCCTTTATGCATGATGTAGCATAGCTGTGACAAATGTATCATTATAGAGAATCAGTCGTTACAGATTTTAATGAATATAAGATCCTTTTTATGAACCTGCAACGATGTTTTGATTCATGTTAATTTCCCCTTCGTTTGCCTCAATTAAAGGATAGATCACTGTAGTTAACGTGTTTGTTATTTGTATATAGATTGGGACATTACAGTCAAACATACTCGTGACTTAGAAGTCAGGGAAATGGAATAACCTGATTTACCCTGAGATAGTATAGTTCATTGGTATATAAACGGCGACAGACTAGTAAGCTGGGCACTTCATCGACGGTCTTCGAAGCTTCACCGGAAGTTGGAAGTTGTACCACGACAAATAGAAGGTAATACTAATATCCTGTATAAGGATAGTAGGGAGACCCGAAATAAAGGTGCTACGGAATAACTGGCAACAGAGCCTGGACAAGGCTCTGGGTAGCTTTTTGTTCTCCCAGTATTACATAGAACACTGAGTAAGTGTAGGTGTTTGGCACTGCATAAGTGCCTTTGCGCGGAACAGACAACTGCTCAGGTTGGTGCCGTTGCTCTGCGCACTGTATAAGTGCCGTTGCGCTGTGTTGACAACTGCGCGAGTGGGCGCCGTTGCTCTGTGTGAAGTCGAGTGAAACGATCAGGGACGAGTGTGTTTGTCTATTCGCTGACAGGTAGTGAGCGTGCATTGCTAGTTATTGTTCTATATATATTTACCTTGCAATTAAAAATCATCTCACCCAAAGACATTTAATACTTAAGATGGACTTTGATTATGTGTCATAGTTGTAGATGGATGTTATATATCCTGATCCAGTAGGTGCTAGTATATTGATGAAGTCATTTCTGTGTTGGTCTACTTTTCAATGGGATACAGACATATACACATTATAGATAATATTCCGTATCATTTTTGGAGTAAAATTAGACGCGTTGTTGCAAAACTATTATTGCCAGTGACGTCACTATCGATGGGAACAAATGTACTATTTTCAGCAAAAAGATGCTATTTTGAACTAAACAGAGTTCAATGCTGTAAATAGTGAAATTTGCTTTTTCAGTAGAAAGTTTACCACTTGTGTAATGTCACATGTTAAGAGTATTGCGGAGGACGTCACAGTATGTGTGTTATTACCATAGGAACATTGCATCGCATTGTAAATAGCCTTTTTGTATTTACGCCGAAACATTCATCAGCTATGGACCTTCCTCTAAATGGCACACTGACCATACTTATAATGAATAGCACAGTCACAACCTTATTGGGGTTGTTGGTATGAAATGGCTTTAGAATGGTTGTCAGTTGATTCACAATACGAGGACCTCAGTTCACTGCGTACGTCTGTACCGAGCCTTGATGTTCGTGGTAGTTCTGCCGCCTTCAACAAGCAACAAACAAGGTAAATCGATTTTCAAATCATACACCATGTTCAACACTGTGGCATACTCATTATATTATTAACCTGTTGTGTTGAAAATTTATTTACTACACTGTTTATGACGTTTATCTGTCTTATATCTAATATACTTGTTGTAGATATTTATGTGTATATAACATATGTGGAGTAGAATTGTAGGTGTATATTACCCAAACGTTTTATATGCTAAAAACACGTCGGTCATGCTATGTAAACATTAGCTATTTACCTTTATACAAATGTAATATGAATATACGTTACATATGACTTAAACCTTGCTATATTATCGACACATGCACGTTTGTGTAACAACAAGTGCTTGATCGTATAATGTTTAACATGTATAAAGACTGGTTATGTTAACGACGACAAGTATTCTAAAACTAGTTTTCGAAACGAAACGTCAATCACGTTATAAGAATAGTCAACTTAACAACAAGTTTCCCGTTCTATAAAACAAACTATCTCAACCAAACGGACATCACGTTATAACACTAGTTATTTTAACTACACGTTCCCGTTCTATAAAACTAACTATATCAACCAAACGGACATCACTTATAAGACTAGTCATCTTAACGACAAGATCCCGTACTATAAAACTAGTAATATAAACGAACTGTCCATCACGTCATAAGAATAGTCAACTTAACGACAATTTTAACGTGCTATAAAACCAAATTATCTAAACGAAATGTCAATCACGTTATATGACTAGTCATCTTAACGACAAGTTTGGCGTAATATAAAACTAGTAATATAAACGAACTGTCCATCACGTTATAAGAATAGTCAACTTAACGACAAGTTTGGCGTAATATAAAGCTAGTTATTTGACCAATACATCTTTCAAGTTATGAGACTACATATCGTTACAAGTCCTACACATTTGATAACTGGTATCTCGCTGACATGTTTACTTTGTAATAGAGTTTCTAATGTATGTCCAATCAACACATTATTGTTTTTTGCTGCACCTGCCATTTTCAACATTTTCAATTGTGACCTCATTGTTCTTTGCAATTGTTTAAACGATTGGAAACTCCCAAGAGACACATATTGTTTTTTTTTTGTTAATATATAATCTGAACGTTGTTTGCAAAACAAGTTCTCCAAACTCGTGATGGTAGGTTGCCATGCTTATCTCGCTGGTCTACTCGAATTAGATACTCATATATATAAAGAAATTCTGGAAAAGTAAATAAAGTTTGCCTTATCGACGACATTCACCATGTCATCTTAGGTCAAAGTCCAGGCGTTCTAGAAGGGCAAGTATCTTTGCCATATCGACGACATTTGCAATGTAGTCTCATAACTTGAAAGATGTATGAGCATAATACAAATTATTGACTTTCACACGCAGTAAGAAATGAATTATTCCCCGGTGAGATTTTGATGGCACACCGTAAAACTTGGCCGTAGTCTTCAGCAACCTGCATTTTTCGAATTGTTGTGAGTTAGTCTATTCGTCAGAAGTCTACATCTATATCGAAAATCCGAATATTCGGAGCAAGCCTTTGAATTCTGAATTAACTGAGACATGTAAAACCCAAATGTTGTGGGAGCAGGAATTAAACTATCAAGAAGGGATCATTCACGATAGCAAAATCGAAATCGTCAAGTATTTCGTACAGCATGGTATTGATTGATTGGAGATCGATGAAAGCGGGTGATTTGGGAAAGGTTTGTAGTGTCATTGATTGCACACTCAAGAGCATATATACGACTAACGTGGTCAAAACATTTCTTGTAATTTAAATGCATCAAATCGTTGACAAAACTGTAAGTAAAATTGAAGGATATGGGTTTTCTTACCACCTCTCAAATAAGCGCTTCGCCTCAGTACATCCATGAGTACTATAACGTCTCCTATGATGGGCGAACAGAGATATAACATTATTATGATTGCATTCTGGACTTAGCATTTCGGATCTTCAATTTTCCGATAAAATCTACACTGTCATAATATCTTTAAGGTGCCGCAGTGTCAGGAATTCTTAGCGTAGCTATCCTAATTACTAAAAGTGAAATCAAGGCAAGGATTTCTGAAGTTATGAAGAAAGTTAACAGGGAACCGTATACGTTGCTTACACGTTACATCATAACTCAAGCTGAACAAACATGCACGTTGTTCATTGAATTCTTCTAAATTCTACTTCCGTCCCTTTTCTGTTTCATATACTAATACTTTTCATAACAAAGAGTACTTAATTCAACTCCACGTATATTATCCTCTCAATCAGGAGTTCGATTAGTCCCTTTGATTAATTATATTAATTTTGTTTTTATTTTCAGGTAGGCATAACTACAGTGATGGAACCAGAAGAAAGTGAGAGGATGTCTGTCCTCTTATCACTGATACTGGAGAAGGACATCGGTAGCCAGAAGGAGGTGGAAATCAGGAGGAAGACTTTGCTTTTTAAAGAAAAACTTGACAACGCTAGAAATGAGAATCATTCAATATTTAATACAGGCAGCTCAGCTGAAGGGTTTTCTATGCGAGGGTCTGATAATGATGCAATGATCGTAGACAAAGCTATATTGCTGGTTAATTCAGGCCAGCAAGTTCCATCAGACAGTAATCATGATATGGTCCTTTTAATGCGAGAGGCCGAGAACTGTCAACGTGGTTACGTGGAACTGGAGGTGGGTGTTTGGCGTAGATGTAAGGAACCGTTATATAAAGCCTTTCACAAAGTAGGAAGTACAACGTTTATATCTAGTGATATATATAGGGAAGAACATGTTAAGCAATCTTTAAATCGAGGTTTTAATGTAGCCTCTCATGGCCCCAGTAGCAGTTCTGAGGCTACTGTAACTAATGCAGCGTACGATGTAGTGCACGCTTTTCACTGTCCAGTTTGGCCAAAGGAAGCACTAGAATGGAAAATGAGAACACGTCTGCATGGCTGGCCTTCCGAAACATTATTAAACAAAATCGTAAAAGGCGGCTGCCATGTCGTTCCAATCGGCGATAAATCAACAAACAACACACTACTACAGTGGCGAATATCATTCGCTTGCGCGGAGAGACTTTTGGTTCATTCTCTCAACCATACTCAGTTCAAAGTGTATGGTCTTTTCAAAATCCTATTGAAAAACATCAAAGAATGTTTAGAAAATACTTTTCAAGGGGAAGATATTTTGAGCTCTTACATTTTAAAAACCATCGTATTCAATGCCGTCGAAAATACGCCAGAAACATTTTGGAATGAAAACAACACTTTTGTTTGTTTTTGGTTTTGCTTCAATATCCTCTGTGCCTGGGTTAAAGGGGGATATTGTCCACAGTACTTCATTCCAAAGAATAACCTGTTTAAACGACACATTCATGGAGAGAACCAGCAAACATTACTCAGCATTCTTACTGAAATTCACCAGATGAAATGGATGTGTTTATCAGTTGGGACATTTGTGCAGCCACCAATTATGGACGTTCTTTTAGACGAAAGCTGTCGGTCCGAACTTATGCAGCAACAGACGTTGCCTCAGTCGGAAGTAGTTTGTGACCTACACGTTCTTACCTCTGTAGTTACTAAGCTATCGTTAATACCAGTTCCTAGTGCCAACCAAATATGCCATGTACTACATTCCCTTTTTGCTACATCGCACTCAGAAATTGACGAATTTCTTACCTATTACAGCACAGCAAAACTATTATCGTTGTCTGCTATGAAAGATTACTCCCCCGACACGGACTCCGCATCCAACAAATTAAGGTACAGAAATATGAAAAAATATAAAACCCTCTTGCAACCAAGGGCTTCCTGGTGTTCAGAAATATTGTATGTAGCAACGTTTTGCTTCCTGACAGGTAACAACAGGGCAACATTAGAAATGTGTAGGAAAGTAACGTCTTCTGTTCAGTATTATCCAGGTAGTTCCCAGGATGTGTTTCGTAAACAACACGACATTTACATGCGTGACTATTGTGGGCGTGGGTACACCTTAATCAACAAACTTCAAAAAGTGTTTTCCTCTAGTGTCTATTTCTTAAGACAATGTCCTGACTTTTGTCTTCCGCAGCTCCAACTTGAATTTGACGAACTGCCAGCACATGGATATATTCGAATACCCCCTCTTCCTTACGCCATTTTCCTTGCATTTCTGTCCTACCATGAAATTGGTGACATCGGAAGGCGTGATGACTGTCTACGTCATCTCATTGCAGTGAAGTACGATGAGGACCAAGGGGGACATAGACACTGGATAGTCCACACTCTCTTAGGGATCTGCTACCAAACTGTTGGAGACAGTCGGAGGGCCATTAAGGCTTATGAGGAGTCTCTAACAGTAGACATCCAGTGGAACCCAGCCTTAGACAGAATTGAACTCCTGGAGAGATAAGCCTAGGAATATACTAGGAATGCATAAGGGTTGTCGTGCTTTGTGTTGTACTCACCCATAAACAATGACTGCGATCTAGGATATATGATACTGAACCATTGTAATGTTTTAATGTTGTCATATCGTATTCAGATAGGTTGAACTTTCATAGAAATATCATTTTGGATGCTAACTTTTACCAGGTCGGATTATGTTAAAACACTAGGTAATTAAATGATTGCAATGTATCTCGTGACAGCTGTATGCTTCCTTATGTTGTAGAAGGTCATGATGCCTTTCCTTTGGGTGTATTCTTCGTTCCCATTTTAATCTTAATTAATTCTATCTTTTTGTATTGAGGCAGTAGTAATTGTGTATCTTTTTGTGCTCATATGAATTAAAACCAATCTGTTTGAAAAGCCATACGTATATCATTCATGCGTGAATATCAGGCTTTTATTATTCTAATATGGCTATTTTCCGACCAAAACATCATGTACGGGTATAGTTTTATACGTCTTAAGTTTAAAATTCATTTGAACTAAGGGAATACATGGTTTTAGGACAGCTTTGATTAAATAATTGTGGTTTACAGAATTACCCAGACATGACGAAAAGGGGGAGGAACTGGAGGGTCTTTAAGTTTCGTTTGAAAAACACAGTTTTCATTGATTTTGTTTCCAAAAACCAATATATTAAATAATTAATAATTAAAAAATCAACAAGTATCTATTTTTATTTTTTTTATTTCTTTAACGTCACAACAGTAACAATATTTCCCTAAAAATCTGATAATAGGTCCAAAATGGCTTTTCTCCCGAATAAATTGTATTTGTCAGCCATCAATAAACATATTGAGTTACACATTATTATATAAATATCATTTATACCTTAGTGATTTGAGAATATAATTCTACATTCTGATGTAACAAACTTAGGATTCGTGATGGTCGATTTGTCTGGTGCAGCTGTTTATAACTGTGCTGCATTACAGAATATCATGTAACTTTTTGAAATAAGGGAGCTAACTACCATGCTCTTCTGATCAAGTTTTTATGTTCATGATATGACATCCGAAGCCTCCTGCTCTGAGTGTAAAACAGGAAACATGGTGATATGTCAAACACATACTGAGCAGATACACACTATGATCGGGTGAATGCTATTTTGATTGCCTTTATTGATGGGTGGATGGAGGGATTTGTTCATCGATTCATATTCCAATCACTAAAATTTTATTTTAACTAGCCTCGGTAAAATATGTATTGCGCCAATCAATTACCATACAACAACGAAAAAATAGTCATTTCCTATGCGTTCATGTCTATTGTTTCAAACTGCTTCCTCCAATTCAAAAGCAGTTATCAATATTATCTACCAACATACATGTATTTATTTACACGAAGTGTTGAATAATAGCTTAACCTCCAAAAATGGCTGAAGCCAATCTGTAACAATTCATGCCAAAAACACTGGCATTAAAACAGTACCATAGGTGTACAAAATAGAGAAATATGATGTATACTAACAAACAACAAATGCATATTTTATTTTTATAACATGATTAAATGTTAAGGTATAATCGAATAAATCTTTATCGTTTCCTAAGGCTAGCTTAAAGTTAGATGTTCTCATATAATCAATACTTGATGTGTTTTAATTACATATATGTTCAGGTACAAATGTAGAACATGAAAATTAATAAGAAATAAAATAAAATAAAGCTGAGAAGTCCTCAAAAAACCTTCCATTCAACAAAAATTAAGTTGAAACCGTTAATATCATCATCTCTTGTGGTTTTGATTAAAGCTATAAAGTCTGGAGTCCACTAAAAGCTAACATTTCAGTAAAACGACTCTCATATTTTCTAGGTTTTTAAATAAATCGGGCAAGTTTATGAAAACATGTGGGTCAATTAATTACCTGTAGATTTACTTTACATGTCAGCACATGTACTGTTATCTCCGCCAGTATAATTAAGAGAACTATGGCTACAAATAGGATCATTTAGTGCATGAAACCGCTATAAAATTGCGATATTCTCGATTACTCTATATTATATTACTATTAATGAGGATAAACAAAAAATAATATAACAAAAACTAAAACAAAAAATAAGAAATTTTCAAAACCCTATCTCGAACCAATGATGTATTACCCTGGTTGTTTTTCTGTTAACTGTTGTACATGTAGGCTATAGTTTAAGTTATTACAGTATTACCTTATAAGTCATTATATGTTTTCTGTATCCTTGAATTAAAACCAATTATCTATCTATATACATGCATCAGCTAGGTAGCGAATACTCTTAATAAGATCAACTCCACTGTCTGAACAAAATATACCAATCTGTGTATAAAATGGATGGAATTCGGCAGGTCAATGGGTCGACATCACAAGGACTATACTGATGCTGCTAGATTCGTCCCCGTTCTATACCTGAGGGGTAACTCTCGGTCACTTATGAGTTTTGTACACACGTAATCACTGTCACTCACAGAGCCTAGCGCAAGCGTCTTGTCACCGAGATTCAGAGAACACTGCAAAGATGTAGAAAGAATACGTCAATGTTGTGGATATTATTACAAATAAATACGCAATACCATCGAATGTGTACAATGAAAACAAAATCTTTCATGTAATGGCAATGTAATGCAATGTAATGTCTATTAACAGACATAATATTAAGATGATACCTATAAACAGACAGAATATTAAGATGATACCTATTAACAGACAGAATATTAAGATGATACCTATTAACAGACAGAATAGTAAGATGATACCTATTAACAGACAGAACATTAAGATGATACCTACCTTAAATGATGTAAGAAAGTCCAGACCAAGTACGACATCCGGTATATCCCCTGTAAACACATTCCAGGCAGAAACATTATGTTATTGATTTTGTATCTTATATCCGATTTTTTTAAGATATCTAGGAAAATATTGTTCAAACTATTAAATCTTTTCCTTAATATCATGAGATCTGAACACAAGTTTATTTTCAGTCTGAAATATAATGTGGATGGTAGGCTTTCATTAATGATTCATACTTAAAATAAATCCAAAAAGCAGATGCAAAATCCAAATGCTAATAAGTGATATGTAAACGTCTACTTTTCGAACGTTTTTAGAGGAATTAAAGTATAGAATGAAAAAGGTACATTATATGTGTCATAGGAAAATTATACATAAAGCCTATTAATCTGAACACATACACAATTTACCATGGCGTTTACTAGTATTTAATATGGGGGAAAAGAAACAAATGATCTCGATCGCCTGTATTTAAAGTATGATATATGTAGCTACCGACAGAGAGGTGTGAATGTATTCAGGGTTTAAGTAAAATACAAGTTAGCATTTCCTAATTTCACGAAATCACATTTTATGCATTTTCGTAAACAAAGCGTCTTGATTGACCAACAGTATAACATGTACTGTACCTCTAGTGTGGAAGTCAAATTGTAGCGTCCGTTCCTCTATTGTAATCGGAACACCCGTAGCCATGTCTCCCATAAACTTCATATTCTCGTCCGAGCCGAAACTGTCAAAGAAGCACATGGAGTGATAACAAAAACACCGATTAAACTTTCAAATAAGTTTGGCCTTACAATATAAATTGACATTATAGCTATATCTATACCAGTTCTTAAGCGACAGGGGAAATACTGATTGAACTGTAATTCCCATTCCGTGCTATAAGATGCTATATTATTAACGGTTTGATTTTTGGGGTTCTGAAGGTTACTTCGACGCGTGTTACTATAGTTAAATGGTGAATAGCAATGTAGTAACGACATCTTACCATTCTAAGACATGGCTTACAGTTCGACTCTGACTTACATGTGTTGGAACATGTGTCTGTTTATGATCGATGACATCACACATGTGTTGAGTAGGGCCTTCACACTCTTACCATTAAGCTGTAAATAAAAATAGCACCATCTCAGTGTAATCTCCACACAGTATAACCTTGCCACTGTATAATGAATATCAAAACAATGGAGGCAATCCAAGCAGTTGCTCTCCACTTGTAATATCTATCAGTAAACATCTCGCGATGTACAGAGCATGCAAATTAATCTCTCATACTGTAATTATCAAACAAGCGTACACTATCCAAGCTGTTGTTTTCCAACTATGATATCTAAAGGAAGACAACTTAGGATGTACAGAGCACACACCACGCACATTATTCTCTCATATTGTACAGGCAGTTTGTATGGTCTGATAAACAAGTGTACCAGCAAGTGAAGCAGGATAATGCATGTCATTAGATCAAAACCTGACCGGAACACAAATCTGGTGCCAAACAGCAACGAGAAGGAAGGCAAGACCAGAAACCATGCAGGCATAAAAGAAATAGAAACATAAATTAAACCGGTGGCGTTTCCTGGTTTTATGGTAGTTTACTTGTAATGTGCATCACATGTGCAAAATCTATGTTGTTGCATGTATTTGTTTACAAAGTATCAGGTAAACAGCCATCCCTCGGTGTACCGATACATTCTCAACATCACTTTCTGCTACTTCTAATTGTGTGTTTGTGTACCGACGTTGTGGTTTAGGTTTGAAGTTTTTTTTTAATTAGGAAAACATCATACATTGAATAGCTTTGACGTATACTAAATGATATATGATATCCACTGCGTTATAGAACATTCCTCAGTGACTATTGCCATAACAATAATCTTTTGATTACTGGTTTCATTCTTAGGTACTCTATACATAGAAAGCTCAATCATCCTTAAAACGATAAGCATTGCGTGTCCATACTAAGGTCTACTTCCTAAGCATGTGCAACAGTCTGCTATCTGTATAGATTACATAAGAGATACAATGTATTCCCGAGAAATAGTAACATTGCTTGTCGTTGCCATGCGTCTGTCTAAACACCAGAGTGAAGTCTTTATATAGCCTTATCATGAATAATTATTTGAGTATCTATTTATTGATTTGTGACGCACCGTTGATGTTGTGAATAAGAATGCATGATTGATGCGGTCAATCTAACAAATACTAATGTCGCGAAATTTTAGAAATGCAAACATAATTTTCTCTTTTCTTACTTTCTCACTTTTTTAATGTTAAATGTTTTTCTCGATACGTTATCATAATTCATAACTCTAAAAGCGTCTTTGTAGATATAAATTTTCTTTCTCAAATGTCATTTCATAACATTTGTTTTTGTATTGCTTTGACAACACGGTAAACTGATTTTAATTTGGCAGTAAAAATAATTGACATAAAGTTATTACTAACGCATTTACTTTTCAGCGGAACCTGTCTGAACCAAACACCATATGACTTCAGTATAGAACGGTGTCCCGATTACACAGGTTCTACAGGAATTTGGTTCTGATTAGAAAGTAAGCATTACGAAAGCAAGAACTCATAGGCTGAATACATGTGAGTAAACGTGTTTTTTTAAAAAAATCACTATTATAACATTTAACAGAAAAAATGTACAGTAGAAAGAAAAAGTAAATGAATTCAAATCCTGAACCCAAAATCAACTGGCGAAATTGAACATAACAAAGATGAACAATAGGATCCAAGGGTCACCGAACAAATGTTAACAACAGGAACCAAGAATACACCGAACAAGTGTTAACGAAACTGTCCGAGGAACACCGAACAAGTGTTAACGAAACTATCCGAGGATCACCGAACAAGTGTTAACGAAACTATCCGAGGAACACCGAACAAGTGTTAACGAAACTATCCGAGTAACACCGAACAAGTGTTAACGAAACTATCCGAGGATCACCGAACAAGTGTTAACGAAACTATCCGAGAAACACCGAACAAGTGTTAACGAAACTATCGGAGGAACACCGTACAACTGTTTACAATATCAATCGGAGATACACGAACCAATCCTAACAACTGGAACCGATGAAACTGTAAACCAATACATAGAAGGTCATATTAAATCATGCGTGATGATGTCGCTTTCTAAATCCACTTTGTAAATTTATTAATAATATAGATAGGGAGCACATTCTAGGAAAGCTATACGAGCAGAACGTAAACTGTTATTAACTACTATTATTTACAATTTACAACACAAATAACATGAACTATCAAATACAACAGCAATCAAGTTCACACTGTCTTTACCTTACACTCTATAAAGGGCAGACAGGGCGTGTCTGTTACAGAACGCTTCGTGGTGTGATATGTCGTTTTTTCGACGTTACCAAAACTACGTCTGTGAGTATTCATACGCCGTGGTATAAGTAGGTCCCTGTCAACTTGTGGTTGCTCACGATCTGTTATATCAGAAACTGCACCATTAGATACCAATTGTGATCTCCTTCCCCTAGGATCCTACAAAAACGAAAACAAATTTCAAAACATTCTACTCTGGACATGATTGAGCAGAGATAGATTTATTCCAGATTTCATAATTCAATATCTTATAGGGCATTTGGCAATAATGACAATATCGCTTTAGCCCTGGAGCGAAAGTGACTGTTTTAAGGGACATAGGGATGTTTGCGGACAACATCAGGGTATGGGCAATGCAGATATATTAATGCATAGAGGAAAACGAGATTACGAGTGAGACAGAAGATACAAGGTTTGTTGGCATGTTATTCAAATGTAATCAATATCAGACCAATAGCAAACATTTTTATCACTTACTTCCGGCCAACATTCAGAAGACGACAGTCAAAGATAACATGTATTATATTGATGTAAGATTGATAAATCTGAAACCTAGGAAAGTTAGGAACATCGATTGTTTATAAAGATACCTAAGATCGGAAAGAAAACCTTGCGGCGGTATATCATATCGTACTATGGTATATTTAATAAATGTTCAAGGGTAAGTAAAATATCAAAACAGCTTACAACAGTGTAAACGAATAAAAAGCATCACCTGATACGTAAAAATATAATCATGGCCCAACGAAACAACATAACAGAAGGAAATTCGTCTTGACTTATTTCTTTTTTGCATCCTACATTCACTATTTTTTTTTTTACATATAAACGTTTTTTCTTGTTTATATTTGTACGTTAAATGTAGTGTGGAATCCTATATATGTGCCGACAATATTGTTTACTGGTTGATTCTGATAAAAGAAATGTGTGAATAAATATGTCAATGTCGATACTATATTGACAAATTAATTAGAAAGAGAAAAAATAAATCGATAAGAACTAGTATTTTTATTCACCTTAAAGGATGCCAAAGTTATTGTTCAAGCCTTATGAGAACCACCTTAATAGAAAAGATACCACTGCGTCGACTCCAATCGATACCAATCCAAGTCAATACAAACGAAAACACGAGAACCAGAAACTGTAACAACTACAAAGACAGCAATAGGACCCAGAAACCGGAACAACAGGAAAGACGACAACAGGAACCAGAAACTGGAACAATATGAAAGAGAGCACCGCGAGCAATAAACCGGAACAACTGGCTATACAGCAACAGGTTCAAGACACCGGAACAACTGGAAAGAGGACACCAGGTACCGGAAAAACAGGAGCAGACACCGGACCAACTAGTAAGACTGCAACAGGAACCTGAAACCGGAACAACAGAAAAGAGGACAACAGGACCCAAAAACCGGAACAATAGAAAAGACAACAACACGAACAAGGTACCGGAACAACAGAAAAGACGACAATACAAACAGAAACAGGAAAAATGGCAACAATATCAAAGCACTGCAAATACAGGAAAGACAACAACTTGACCACGGCACTGTAACAACAGGAAAGACAACAACACGAACCAAAAGCTGAAACAACATAAAAGACAACAACATAAACAAGGCACCTTAACAACAAGACAGACAGCAACACGAACCAGACACCTAAACAACAAGACAGACAGCAACATGAACCAGACGCCTAAACAACAAGACAGACATCAACTTATCACAGAAACAACAAAGATAGCAACAACAGGATACCAAAGAAACAACAAGATATCAAAGCAACATGTAAGCATCAACAAAAACTGTCACCAAAACAACAAGAAAGACAACAGCACAACGGAAGAGACGTCGTGATTCCCCCAAAAACCAGACGTTCGTACAATGTAAGTGTTTCCACCACTGTGACATTCCAATGTGAGTTCAACTGATAAAAAACAAAGACGCATGTCGACTACCTGCAATTAAAGACTAATTGCAAATTAAAATCAGGTCGCTTTAAGGAAAGGAAATATCTGAACTGGAACATGTGTACTAGTAATCAATAATTTATCACGCGATTAATTGATTTTTACCTGGAACCTCTCTCTGCTGGTAAGACGTCGACTTCGCTTACCATTCCTCCTATCAATCAATATATCATGCGCGGGACCTATTACCTATCCATTGCAGGTCGCATTCGTTTTTGCAAGGAAGACATTTCCTCCCTCCAGTATAGAGACAAGATTAAACGGCTACAGCGAGGAAAGGACTATACGTATGAAAACAAGTAACTGGTTTTTGGTTTTAGATTGATTGATAGAATCAAATTTACAATTTAAGTTATCATTCTTGGGTCATATGCTTTGTAATAAAATGTTGCGATAAATCATTTTATTTGTTTTTGTATTTTTAAACGGTGCTTAAATCAATCGCTGTACATTTAGACATTTCTTCCATGCATGAAAACACTAATTATTCCGATGTTTCTACTGCCCTGTTAACTCTGATGGATACTGTTACAGGTGCTTGCATGGATAAAATGAAAGCAAGCTTTGTCAGTTTCAATCATCTCTTTTGTGTAGCGCTATATATAGTGGCACAGTAAATTATATACACACTATAAGTATTTATAATACAAAATTAACCAATAGTCCTCGTATTTTCAATTCATATAGTTCGGGGAGTTATGTGCCTTCCTTTCTGTTTCAACAGAAGCTAATATATAAAGCCAAATTGAATTTCAGTAACAGTTGTGTGAAATACCTTGGCGTATGGATGTCATCTACTTTTAATTTAATCTTCACGTTAAAAAAGTTGTATCCATGGCAAATTTTACTGATATATCTGTCATCCGTTCTTTGTATATTAGTATGGTCAGAAGCAAACTAGAATATGCTTGTGAAATATGGTGTCCATATGGAACTACTCTGGCACATCGATTAGAAGCAATATGCCTTTATTTTAATATTCCACCTCTTTTAAACCGTATAATGTATTTAGATCATTTGTTCCTTTTTAAGTGTGTAAAGAGTATGTTCGACTGTCCATATCTTATTGAACAAATCAATTTAATTGTTCCAGACAAATCTCTTAGGTCCAGCTGGACGTAAGGAAAAACAGTGTTTTAATTAGCTGTCAGAAAAATGTTAGCTTCCTCAATGTTTAGCCGGATAATCTATTTAGCAGATCACTAAAAACGTTTCAAACAGAAATGAAACAGATTAGTTTGTTTTATTCATTACACATAGTCTGTTTGAATTTTATGTATCATGTATGTATTGTGTGATAATTTTACATCTGGGCTTGTTGTTTTGTCAATGTTTATTTGCCGTTTTCCCCTTGCTGTCATGTTGTTGTTGTTTTGTCTATGTTTATTTAACGTTTTCCCCTTGCTGTCATGTTGTTGTTGTTCTGTCTATGTTTATTTGTCGTTTTCCCCTTGCTGTCATGGTTTTCTCATAAACCTGTCGTGTAGCACTGCATCTCTCATCAACCACTTGTTTATTTTCAGTTAATAAATCAATAAATCTACATATTTCAGGACTTTATTTTTGTTATTTTTGTTTCAATTATCCGAGCCAACACATCTGCTAAAATGACGTTTGTTGACAATGCAGCCCAATGGCCTAAATGTTATTTTCATTGTTGACATGCTTGTTATAACAACGTAAAATGGGTTAAAGCATTCGGCGACCATTGCTCTGTTCTGTATCATCTTTTCAAATAATGAATGACATAACTGAGAAATAACGTACCTGTCTTGGGCTCGGTATAGGAGTACGTGGACCGTCTACAAACAAGTCACCACCAATCCTGTTTTTAGATTTGTTTCTCTCTCTCCTTATTGCTGCCTGCTTAATGATATCGTCGTCAGCCATGTTGCTGTGTCGTTACTCGTTCATATGGCTCACCTGATTCCAAATAGGTGTACTAATGACGGTGCTGAAATAACAGCAACCCGATACTAATGTTATCCATTGTATTCAAACTAAAACACAGTAAACATGTGTCCTACATCAATGGAGGATATATCCGGTATCTCCGACGAGAGATGGCCACTGTAATGTACATCCGTGATAAATGTTGCATAGACGTTTTATTGATCGGCTCGTGCTTTACCTATAACTACTGATTATACGGACTCGGGTCTCACCGGCTACATACCTGTCTTAGATACACACGGAATGTATCTTAATACAAATATATTCTCTATGTACGTTGCCTGAATGCGATGTTTCTTATGTAATTAGAAATGAGAAATGTATCATTTTGATTTTCGAAACATAAGATCTGAGACATCCTATCCATACAGAAGCATATACTATATCGATCCCTTTACATTTCTCTTGTTTTATATTAATTTCATTTTACTCCTTATTAAGATTGCATGTTCAATTTCAACAGAAGAAATTATTAAAACGAGAATGCAGTGTCCCTAACATGATCCTAAATCATATTATTACATTTATTGAAATATAATTCAGTATAAAATGTAAACAAACGAGCACGACCTGTACATATTATCCATTCATAGATATGTGTGTAATATATATTTTTCCACTGAGGTGACACTTTAAATCAGGACGTAAAATCCAGACAATGAGTATAATGTATTTTTTACAAACATTCCGTATATACTAACGCTACGTTTCGGTACCAGTCAAAGGACGTGTGACCTAAACATCGACTGTAACAAAGCGCTATGGACGAACTGTTAAAGTCTCAGCAAAGACGTCCCGATATGTTGTTAACACTATCTAGTCTTCTACGGGATCTTTAACCCCGATCTGTCGGCGGTGTACACTGTGATATTTCAGCACCTCTACATTGATAATGACGTATGTACCTACTAGTATTGTGTAAGATTCACATAAAAGGCATTGTGACTAAAGGTGTGATCTGACATCGAGTATTATTGGGAAGAGGTAAAATAGTTCAACAAATGAATGTGGATCACACTTGACGTAAGCTAAACGGATATAAAAGCTAAAAAAAGTATAGCCCATTGAACTGATTGTCGAAAAAGATCTGGAGGATGTTAACATTGTGTTTTACCTCAAACATTATTTTATAATGTAGAGATCATTACATGCACTAAAAAGCTGACATTATCCGTTATTTTAATATACAGTATTTATAACCTGTCTCAACCGTACTCAGCTAACCCGGAAACCACATCCCCATGCACATGTAAATAAAACTTGTTTTTAACTGATTGTCCTGAAACAAATCATGTTTATTTGAAGAAATGTTCTCCGTGTTTTTTGGTTTTAACTCTTTTTGTTTTCCTTGCATAAACGTTAATAAACACTTACTATGAATACATCGAACATTTAAATGGACTGCTGTGGGGTGTACAATCGTCATCAAAGTGCATGTATCGTTATGCACTATGCGTAATATTACTCTGTATCACAAAATACACAGAAAACAAAACGATGACGTCACAAATTCATGACAAAGGCTAAACTGGAGGCGTTTTTGTTTCATGTTCCCGATCTAAATGTTTATAAACTGTTTGATTGAAAAACATGCTATGATTGACACTTCGATAAAATGACTCCCAATTGATGAAAATTCAATAAAGGGGCATGTGCAAGTCTACATTTCCCCGAGGTTGTCCATAAATAACCATTAAACAACATGACACGAGGATCGATCTCAATGGAAGTCTCGTTTGAGTACTGCTATACGGCTAGTTTTCTAATCTAATATTGAGCCGTTACTGAGCTCTATGTTCACGTTCATCATGAATATTTTAGCGTTTTCCCTTCAGCCCAGAGACTCACCCTTTCCAGTCACAATAGCTCCCAATCCTAACTATACAGGATAGTTTCTTGTCCTGGTACACATTGAGCGATAGTGCCATCGTTTAGTAATCTGTAAATTGACTTATTTATTGCCAATAACTATGACGTCATAATGAAGATGACGACGCAAAGCTTGTTATCTGACGTCATTATTAGAAGATTGACAAACGTTATAACGTCCAGGGTAAAACATGTTATTTTATCACATACCTGTTGAATCTTGTTATAGTAATACAAGCAATTTTTAGACATTGACATACAACGTTTTGTATTGCACCGTACACTCGTGAATATATTCGTCCCCGCAATAAACTCGTGCTTTCTGATTCGTTAGAAAAACACAAGTGTGTGATCTTGCATATACATGCATGCAAATTTCTCGCAATCACATTGGTCGGATCATATTCACGTGACCAGTTCTCAAAAACTCATGTAGACTGGTTATCCAGTGAATATCGATTTCTAAATATAGCCTATATGGAAATTCCCCGGAATCTGTCGTAGCGCATGCGCAGTTAGACCAGAACGCGATCTGTCAAACGACATTAGCAGAAGCTATTGAACACGCAGTGCATGTCCTCCATGCTTATCTTAAGAAAAAGAAATTAGACGATGTCTTCGAAAGCTACGATGCTGAACTGTTGAATTAAAACCTGGCTAAATTTTACACGGAGGTTCGCGCACACAAATCAGAACCTTGAGTTTTGTTTTGTTTTATATTATTAATGAAGCAAATAATAAAACAGTTATGGGTTTTTGTGCTGGTAAATATGATGTGATATGAACCTGAAAAAGTGATATTGACCTCGGCTTCGCCTTGGTTAATATCACTCTTTCAGGTTCATATCACATCATATTCACCAGCACAAAAGTCCATAATTGTATATTAACCAACACCTACGGGTTTATCCAATGAGTCTAGAGTGAGGAAACTCTAGTATGAGAGAAATACAGGTAAACATATGTTAGTCAAGTTAAAGTTTATGTAAGGAAACAGGTTTTTTAGTTCGAAAACAAAAACAAACAAAAGGGTTTGTATATTGTGTACATTCTAGTTACGTTAAACTCTCGTCATCTTCGTGCCAAGCTATTGTGTTTAAGTTGTATTAACCTCGAAATATGTCCCACAAAACACTGATTCGCTAACGGGACAAACATATTAATGACTGCTCGATACACACGGTTTTAATTAAATATGCATGATTTCCGTGTTTAAATCATTGATAAGATAGTCGAATCTTACCTTTGCATCAACCATCATGCGAATCCCATATCGGCAACTTCAGAAATGTAACATCCACGTACCAGTATTATGTAATAACAGTGCTCATCCCGCACGTTTTGTTTTTACAGTTACGACTGCATTTTATCATTGAGTAGATGACCTCTGTGACCCGTTGACCTTGTTATCTATGGGTGACGCGTTGCTATAGAATCCCCCTGCCCCCTCTACGTATCTGATAATGATGTACTTCTGACATCCCTACCAGTATAACAGTGTACACGTAAACAGATATTGTAAACGAGTTAATAGTGTTATATATGGAACAGCAAGAGAATAGCGAAGTGTCAACAAAATCGTCATATGATAGCAAGGCTTTAAAATGTTTAATATATTGTTCTGAATAATGAAAATCAATAAATGATATTTCACGATATGGTATATAGTTTCTTACCCATGAAACATTGTCGAAGTCTTGGAATATAATTCCCGCTTACTCGCAAATGAAGGTGGTCCGATCGCCTGTTTAGATTAGTGTAATTGTCTGGTGGGTAGTTGTTACGAGAACGACCGAGTAAAAAGCCTAATATGCACACGTAAGTAGACGTGGATATTGACTATGAACAATGAAGGATGCGAGTAACACATACTTTATCGGAGGAAAATCTAATTATTTCATGTCAAGAACACGCCAGATACAATTTCGGAACAATCAACAAATAGAAATGGATACCTAGTTATTTCGAAGCTGACTTCTCGGGGAGATATTGACCAGAGAACGGACGAGTGGATCGAGAACGACCAGCTCATGTGTCGTGCCTCTGGACACAGCCTGGACGTTATAGTAAGTAGAAATATATTTATCATTCTTGCTTTGTCCAATCTTACAAATCCCTTTCAAGTAAGCTGCCTTGGTAGTGACTGCCGTCAACTCTTATTTAGATTGTGTCATAAGGCTTTTTCGTGCATAAAGCTAGGAGAGGAATTGCTTCGAGCAATATTTGAGATTTCGTATGTATCGAGCACAAATAAGCTCTATGTGGACAGGATAATGAACACATCATCCTGTGAATGCAGTTACGACAGGACCATTGAATGTCATATCACCCATGGTTTATCAGTATAACTGTAGACTGTAGCTGAACTGGAAAACCAAACATTAATTATAAAATTATAAAACATATATTGTATGGATTGATGCATCCATTGTCTTGAAACCTATACAAACTTGTATTATGTATGTATGTAGGTATGTATGAGACTTACGACAGTTCCAGATGGTACTTTAGATAGCAAATGGTAGGTTGAATATGTATTAGTATTGCTTTGGTTAGCAATATACATTAACAATCAAATATAATCATCAAAAGGCTTCTGAATTATTTATCGTAAATAGATTAATGGCTAGATGAACACCTATGTGCCCTAAATATTCACATCGTCAGCTGGCCAGGTCGATATTTATTTCCTTCTAGTTGTAACACAAGTATCAATATTCAACTTAAGGTTCAACAACTCCCTTAGATATAACGTTTGGCGCATTCCCACAACCATCTTAGTGTGGGGCCTGTAGGCTTCTCAACAGCAAGAAGAAGAAAAGTAAAGCTCTGCACAACCTAAGTATATAAATGAACTATGGATGATATGTTATTTCGTAGATCCCGTTCTGTCACAGAAGCGAGAGCCATGTTATAAGTCCAGCGAACTATATGTTATGATGACATTAGGTTTAATGGATTCATGCGGCCTACATTAACGTCGCTATGTACCATTATGATACATAATGTACATGTTCTATGTCTCCAATTAACACCTCGATTTCGATGGTTAAACGGGGTCTTTGGTTATGAATTATCAGGGGGTTGTAATGTTTGATAACATCTGTTAATGTGTTTGTTAAGCCGTCATATGTTTTGGTAAATTCTTAACGATCAATTATTGAAATAATGTCATACATGCACATGGTCAAATTGAAGTGCATATGTAAAATTTAGTCCATAATAATAAATTATAAATTATCACAACCTAGTTCATAGGTCGTATCAAAACGTTCACAAATTATTACCCGTGGTTATAGGGTCTTTACAACAAGCCAACATCTTTCTCAACTTATTGGGAGGACTACAGCCGGTGCTGCCATTTCGGCTCTTATAGCTAGCATTTCACAATTCTAGCACTGTCCAACCTCGTACTCATTTACAACTGAGTAGACTGGAACAAACGGAGTCAAGTATCTTGCTCAAAGATACACCAAAGTGCCGTGCCGTGACTCAGACTCGCAACCCTTCGGTCACGAGCCCGGCGTCCTACCACTACACTAACGTGCCTCTTATGTGTGTATGTGACCCAACAATGTGTGTGTGGCACAGCAGACGCTAGGATAAACACTGGGGAGATCAAAACAAGGACAAGAAATTGTATTATAGGTGTTGATACTGAGTATTGGATCCCTCAATGTTATGACATCAGAAGACATGAACACCGCCATTAACCGGGAACAAAAGTGTATTCCTACTCTTATTCACTTACTTCACCTATGTACATAGAACAAAACATAACGTTTATTCATACGCTTCTCCACGTACTTCACATACACGAAGAAAACAGAATTGAAATATGCATTAGAACGGCATGAAGTTTTCAACTCTTTAAACAGTATCTCAAATAAATACTTATATTATTTATGTCAGAGGTTTCTCTTACATAAACAATGTAAGTATTTATTTTAAACACTGTTTAAATAGTTAAACTTTCAACTACCATGCTTAGAGTCAAGACATTGGCGAATACTAGACCTCACAATAGACTTTTCGCACGGGACTAATACTTGTTATAATAGAAAATATATGTATAATTTCAATCACGTGTTTCTCAACACCATGAATAACAGGGAACTGTCATATATGTTCACACTTACCAAATTCAGACGGCATTCATTTGAGCTATGAATGATGTCAAAGCCCATATGTGACGTTATTTTGACCTTATAATTGTAACCTTAGATACCAGGCTACCACTGGCTACTTATTGGAGATGATATTCTGTTCATTAACGAACCGTACACGACACAAACACTCATTTGAACTATATACTGGATTTTGATAAATCAATTTTTCATATTTTTTCCCACGCACCGTTAATATAAGCATTGACATGCTCTCCATCGGCATTTATAGACAGTGTGAATGCCAACAGGAAATTTCAAATTCAATTTAAAATGAATTCATCATCTCGTTTTGCATTCATATTGAGTTGCTTGAGGCTATAACTGGTTTGAAAACCCGTTTTCTGGTTACTTGTAGTTATGGTTTACTAGAGTCAAACAATAATGACGTGTACTCTAAGTTTCTCACTTATCAGGCGCAACTTTATGACCAAATAAGCTGAATTCCTGTTGTTAGTTAAGTCGCGGAAACTATTGCTATACATCATTTTATATAACGGCGCACATAAGGTCATGTGATCAAGGATGCAACTGATATATCGCCGATGTTTCGTTTCAAGTTATGACGAAAGTTAGTTGATAAAACCAATAAATATAATATAAATAAAATGTATTTAAAAAAATAAAATGTCCGTTTTATTTCTTTTGAACTCTCCCTTCACAAACGTCACCACCGATGTATATCCTAGATCAACATTAACTTCCCACGTGACAGCTGAATCAAGAATGTTTTAAATACAAATTTAAATGTCATGATATGATACCAGATTACACGGTAGATCATTCAATGTAGAATGTGGTGTGATGAATCACCAGTACTTAATAAGTCCCGGTAAAGGACCTAATGCATTTAACAGATACAGATGTGTAAACTTGACAAATCACCTGTATAGGTTTACTCTCATTTCCATATTAAATACTCGTCATATCAGGTTATGAAATGTTTGCTTTCACACGATAACGGTCTACGCTTGGCTATTTTTAGTGCAATGCTTTTAAATTTGTGTTAGGAAAGGGACCAAAAATGATCGCTACCGGGAGGAACGCGTCGCCATTGGGGACCGGATTTGTGGCTCGACTTGTGCTTACCTTTGTGATGGGGAGCTTTGTTCAACAGGTATTGGTTTTATGAAATTTTCTGACATATCCATTTGTTGAGACTCTAAGTAACTCAATACACGATAAGAGATTAATATAACGTGTTACATGATCATCAGGAGTTTATATTTATAAGTATTGTAACAGGTATAATATATTATAGCGTTCTGATAGAGATAAACTATTATCGAGGAAAGGTCATTACATTTATTACATAATAATACGGTGAACAATGTTTACATTTGTATCTATTACAACAAGTGTATGACATACAATTACAAACTTCAATACGAGAATCACAGCTGTTATTATAAAGCTGTTCGGGTGTTGCCTCTTTTTTCTATAACGAGAAGGGGGTAAGGGGGTATGTTTTGATGTCTGCTAAAGTCCTGCTCATTTAGTGTCCTATTTCATCCTGTGAGTGTTGTTTTGAGTTTTAATTATGTTTAATGTAACGTGCTGTATTGGTTTCTGTGGTATATTGTGTCCTTGTATTGACACTGTGGTATATTGTGTCCTTGTGGGTTTCTTTTGTGTGTTGAAGTTATGGAACATTTTGTTATTGTGTGTTGAAGTTATGGAACATTTTGTTATCGTGTGTTGAAGTTATGGAACATTTTATTATAGTGTGTTGAAGTTATGGAACATTTTGTTATTGTGTGTTGAAATGATGGAACATTTTGTTATTGTGTGTTGAAGTGATGGAACATTTGATTATTGTGTGTTGAAGTTATGGAACATTTTGTTATTGTGTGTTGAAGCTACGGAATATTTTGTTATTGTGTGTTGAAGCTACGGAATATTTTGTTATTGTGTGTTGAAGTGATGGAACATTTGATTATTGTTTGTTGAAGTTATGGAACATTCTGTTATTGTGTGTTGAAGTGATGGAACATTTGATTATTGTTTGTTGAAGTTATGGAACATTATGTTATTGTGTGTTGAAGATATGGAACATTTTGTTATTTTGTGTTGAAGTTATGGCACATTTTGTTTTTGTGTGTTAATGTTATGAAACATTTTGTTATTATGTGTTAAAGTTATGGAACATTTTGTCATTGTGTGTTAACGCTAGGGTTTATTTTGTGAATGTGTGTTGAAGTTATGGACCATTTTGTTATTGTGTGTTCAAGTTATGGAACATTTTGTTGTTGTGTGTTGAAATGATGGAACATTTTGTTATTGGGTGTTGAAGTCATGGAACATTTTGTTATTGTGAGTTGAAGTGATGGAACATTTGATTATTGTGTGTTGAAGTTATGGAACTTTTTTTTATGGTGTGTTGGAGTTATGGAACATTTTGTTGTTGTGTGTTGAAATGATGGAACATTTTGTTATTGTGTGTTGAAATGATGGAACATTTTGTTATTGTGTGTTAACGTTATTGAACATTTTGTTATTGTGTGTTGAAGTTATGGAACATTTTGTTATTGTGTGTTAGCGCTATGCAACATTTTATTATTGTGTGTTAGCGCTAGGGTTTATTTTGTTCTTGTGCGTTGACGCCATGATATATTTTATTCTTATGGTGCAGACGCTAGGATTTATTTTGTGCTTGTGTGTTAATGCTATAGAATATTTTATTATTGTGTGTTGAAGTTATGGAACATTTTATTATTTTTTGTTGAAGTTATGGAACATTTTATCATTGTGTGTTAGCGCTAGGGTTTATTTTGTTCTTGTGCGTTGACGCCATGATATCTTTTATTCTTATGGTGCAGACGCTAGGATTTATTTTGTGCTTGTGTGTTAATGCTATAGAATATTTCATTATTGTGTGTCGAATTTATGCAACATTTTATTATTGTTTGTTAGCGCTATGGTTTATTTTGTTCTTGTGCGTTGACGCCATGATATATTTTGTACTTGTGTGCTGGCGCTAGGGTTTATTTTGTGCTTTTGTGTTTTCGCCACGGTTTAAGTTGTTCTTTTGTTCTGACGTTATGGTATAAGTTATGCTTGTGTATTGCGCTATTCTATATTTCGTACTTGTGTGTAATCACTATGGTATATTTTGTCCTTGTGTGAGGACGCAATTGTATGTTTTGTACTTGTGTGTTGGTGCTGTTGTATATTGTGTACTGGTGTGTTGGTGCTGTTGTATAGTTTGTACAGGTGTGTTGGTGCTGGTTTTTTTTGTACTGGAGTGTTGGTGCTTTGTTATATGTTGTACTGGTGTGTTGGTGCTGTTGTATATTTTGTACAGGTGTGTTGGTTCTGTTGAATATTTTGTACTGGAGTGTTGGTGCTTTGTTATATGTTGTACTGGTGTGTTGGTGCTGTTGTATATTTTGTACTTGTGTGTTTATGCTGTTGTATAGTTTGTACTGGTGTGTTGGTGCTGTTGTATATTTTGTACAGTAGTGTTGGTGCTGTTGTATAGTTTGTACTTGTGTGTTGGTGGTGTTGTATAGTTTGTACTGGTGTGTTGGTGCTGTTGTATAGTTTGTACTTGTGTGTTGGTGCTGTTGTATATTTTGTACTTGTGTGTTGGTGCTGTTTAATATTTTGTACTGGTGTGTTGGTGCTGTTATATATGTTGTACTGGTGTGTTGGTGCTGTTTTATATTTTGTACTTGTGTGTTGTTGGTGCTGTTGGATATTGTGTACTGGTGTGTTGGTGCTGTTGTATAGCTTGTACAGGTGTGTTGGTGCTGTTGTATATTTAGTACTGGTGTGTTGGTGCTGTTGTATATTTAGTACAGGTGTGTTGCTGCTGTTTTATATTTTGTACTTGTGTGTTGTTGGTGCTGTTTTATATTTTGTACTGGTGTGTTGATGCAGTTGTATAGTTTGTACTGGTGTGTTGGTACTGTTGTATATTTTGTACTGGTGTGTTGCTGCTGTTGTATATTTTGTACTGGTGTGATGGTGTTGTTGTATATTTAGTACAGGTGTGTTGCTGCTGTTGTATATTTTGTACTTGTGTGTTGTTGGTGCTGTTGTATATTGTGTACTGGTGTGTTGGTGCTGTTGTATAGTTTGTACAGGTGTGTTGGTGCTGTTGTATATTTAGTACTGGTGTGTTGGTGCTGTTGTATATTTTGTACTTGTGTGTTGGTGCTGTTGTATATTTAGTACTGGTGTGTTGGTGCTGTTGTATATTTTGTGCTTGTGTGTTGGTGCTGTTGTATATTTTGTACTGGTGTGTTGGTGCTGTTGTATATTTTGTACTTGTGTGTTGGTGGTGTTGTATATTTTGTACTAGTGTGTTGGTGCTGTTTTATATTTTGTACTGGTGTGTTGATGCAGTTGTATAGTTTGTACTGGTGTGTTGGTGGTGTTGTATAGTTTGTACTTGTGTGTTGGTTCTGTTGTATAGTTTGTACTGGTGTGTTGGTGCTGTTTTATATTTTGTACTGGTGTGTTGGTTCTGTTGTATATTTTGTACTTGTGTGTTGGTTCTGTTGTATAGTTTGTACTGGTGTGTTGGTGCTGTTTTATATTTCGTACTGGTGTGTTGGTTCTGTTGTATATTTTGTACTTGTGTGTTGGTGCTGTTGTATATTTTGTACTGGTGTGTTGGTACTGTTGTATATTTTGTACTGGTGTGTTTATGCTGTTGTATATTTTGTACTTTTGTGTTGTTGCTGTTGTATATTTTGTACTGGTGTGTTGGTGCTGTTCTAAAATTTGTACTGGTGTGTTGGTGCTGTTGTATATTTTGTACTTGTGTGTCGGTGCTGTTGTATAGTTTGTACTGGTGTGTTGGTGCTGTTGTATATTTTGTACTTGTGTGTCGGTGCTGTTGTATATTTTGTACTTGTGTGTTGGTGCTGTTGTATATTTTGTACTTGTGTGTTGGTGCTGTTGTATATTTTGTACTGGTGTGTTGATGGTGTTGTATATTTTGTACTTGTGTGTTGGTTCTGTTGTATAGTTTGTACTGGTGTGTTGGTGCTGTTTTATATTTTGTACTGGTGTGTTGGTGCTGTTGTATATTTTGTACTTGTGTGTTGTTGCTGTTGTATATTTTGGACTGGTGTGTTTGTGCTGTTCTATAGTTTGTACTGGTGTGTTGGTGCTGTTGTATATTTTGTACTTGTGTGTTGTTGCTGTTGTATATTTTGTACTGGTGTGTTTATGCTGTTGTATATTTTGTACGTGTGTGTTGTTGCTGTTGTATATTTTGTACTGGTGTGTTGATGGTGTTGTATATTTTGTACTTGTGTGTCGGTGCTGTTGTATAGTTTGTACTGGTGTGTTGGTGCTGTTGTATGTTTTGTACTTGTGTGTTGGTACCGTTGTATATTTTGTACTGGTGTGTTGGTGCTGTGGTATATATTGTACTGGTGTGTTGGTGCCGTTGTATATTTTGTACTGGTGTGTTGATGCTGTTGTATATTTTGTACTGATGTGTTGGTGTTGTTGTATATTTTGTACTGGTGTGTTGGTACTGTTTTATATTTTGTACTGGTGTGTTGGTCCTGTTGTATGGTTTGTACTGGTGTGTCGGTGCTGTTGTATATTGTGTTCTTGTGTGTTGGTGCTGTTGTATAGTTTCTACTGGTGTGTTGGTGCTGTTGTATTTTTTTGTGCTGGTGTGTCGGTGCTGTTGTATATTGTGTACTTGTGTGTTGGTGCTGTTGTATAGTTTGTACTGGTGTGTCGGTGCTGTTGTATGTGTTGGTTCTGTTGTATATTTTGTACTGGTGTGTTGGTGCTGTTTTATATTTTGTACTGGTGGGTTGGTGCTGTTGTATATTTTGTACTTGTTTGTTGGTGCTGTGGTATATTTTGTACTGGTGTGTTGGTGCCGTTGTATATTCTGTACTGGTGTGTTGATGCTGTTGTATATTTTGTTCTGATGTGTTGGTGTTGTTGTATATTTTGTACTGGTGTGTTGGTACTGTTTATATTTTGTACTGGTGGGTTGGTGCTGTTGTATATTTTGTACTTGTGTGTCGGTGCTGTTGTATATTTTGTACTTGAGTGTCGGTGCTGTTGTATAGTTTGTACTGGTGTGTTGGTGCTGTTGTATGTTTTGTACTTGTGTGTTGGTACCGTTGTATATTTTGTACTGGGGTGTTGGTGCTGTGGTATATTTTGTACTGGTGTGTTGGTGCCGTTGTATATTCTGTACTGGTGTGTTGATGCTGTTGTATATTTTGTACTGATGTGTTGGTGTTGTTGTATATTTTGTACTGGTGTGTTGGTGCTGTTGTATAGTTTGTATTGGTGTGTTGGTGCTGTTGTATAGTTTGTACTGGTGTGTCGGTGCTGTTGTATGTGTTGGTTCTGTTGTATATTTTGTACTGGTGTGTTGGTGCTGTGGTATATTTTTTACTGGTGTGTTGGTACTGTTTTATATTTTGTACTGGTGTGTTGGTCCTGTTGTATGGTTTGTACTGGTGTGTCGGTGCTGTTGTATATTGTGTACTGGTGTGTTGGTGCTGTTGTATATTTTGTACTGGCGTGGCGGTGCTGTGGTATATTTTGTACTGGTGTGTCGGTGCTGTTGTATAGTTTGTACTGGTGTGTTGGTTCTGTTGTATAGTTTGTACTGGTGTGTTGGTGCTGTGGTATATATTGTACTGGTGTGTTGGTGCCGTTGTATACTTTGTACTGGTGTGTTGATGCTGTTGTATATTTTGTACTGATGTGTTGGTGTTGTTGTATATTTTGTACTGGTGTGTTGGTACTGTTTATATTTTGTACTGGTGGGTTGGTGCTGTTGTATATTTTGTACTTGTTTGTTGGTGCTGTGGTATATTTTGTACTGGTGTGTTGGTACTGTTGTATATTTTGTACTTGTGTGTTTATGCTGTTGTATATTTTGTACTTGTGTGTTGTTGCTGTTGTATATTTTGTACTTGTGTGTTGGTGCTGTGGTATATTTTGTACTGGTGTGTTGGTACTGTTTTTTATTTTGTACTGGTGTGTTGGTCCTGTTGTATGGTTTGTACTGGTGTGTCGGTGCTGTTGTATATTGTGTACTTGTGTGTTGGTGCTGTTGTATAGTTTCTACTGGTGTGTTGGTGCTGTTGTATTTTTTTTGTGCTGGTGTGTCGGTGCTGTTGTATATTGTGTACTGGTGTGTTGGTGCTGTTGTATATTTTGTACTGGCGTGGCGGTGCTGTGGTATATTTTGTACTGGTGTGTTGGTACTGTTTTATATTTTGTACTGGTGTGTTGGTCCTGTTGTATGGTTTGTACTGGTGTGTCGGTGCTGTTGTATATTGTGTACTTGTGTGTTGGTGCTGTTGTATAGTTTCTACTGGTGTGTTGGTGCTGTTGTATTTTTTTGTGCTGGTGTGTCGGTGCTGTTGTATATTGTGTACTGGTGTGTTGGTGCTGTTGTATATTTTGTACTGGTGTGTTGGTGCTGTTGTATAGTTTGTACCGGTGTGTTGGTCCTGTTGTATAGTTTGTACTGTTGTGTTGGTGCGTGAAGTGACGCAGCAGTAAACATTTAGCCACTCTACATATCTCGTACAACATGTTGATTATGTTACCCACCACTCTACATATCTCGTACAACATGTTGATTATGTTACCCACTGTTTCTTTGTCTATCTAAACGTCGTCCTTTTGTCCATATAAGTAATGATATTAACTTACATTTCACCAGGTATGTGGCCGATCTAGGTTCCGCCGGCAGGACGTCGACAGTCCCGATGGAGTGCTTTACTGGCCCGATGGGATCATTCCTTACACGTTTCCATCATCGTACAGTAAGACAAACGATGTCACTTTATTAAGAAATCACTTTCATGTTACTTTTTATTGAACTGTATTCGGTTCTGGTTTTCTGTACTGAGTTTAAAAATAACGTATATATAATTTCTAAATAAAATACGATGCTACACTAATGGACATAAAATAAGGAAAGCAAGGGATTGAAGTTTTGATGTGATGAGAAAAAAGATCGTTTCTTCGAACTTAATGAGAAAACAATCTAAATGGAAAAAAAGAAATGACCTTGAAAAGAAAGCAAGTATCCACTAGAAAATCTCACTTATTATTATCATGTTGCAGAACTATATTTCCTTCAATTGGGTTTATACAAAATGCAAATGTATATGTGCATTTATAACTATATAACTTATGTTATTCAGCGGAGACACAGCAGAGCACTGTACGAGTAGGTATGGCACGGTGGGAAGAGCAGACATGCATAAAGTTTGTACCTTGGACCAGTGAATTGCTAGAACAGATGGGAACGACACGTTACCTTAAGTTTATCAACGGTATAACGTAAGTAGGCAATGTCTCTGTGACCTCATTTAACCACATCATTAGCAGTACAAACTGTATGTAGAAACTGTGACATTCGTCATTGCTGAGTTTAGTTTAGTATGGCTGTCCTAGAACAAATATGTCCTGGAGTACGCAATCGATATTCTAGAACGTGTCTTCGTAAAATATTAACGTGTAGTTGAATAGTTGCAATGCACTTAGTATTCTTTTTAAACGTAATTCATGCATTCACACTATAGGTAGGACTATTCAGCATAATAAAGTTCATAAAATGAACAAGGTTTCAAAGACCGAACTATAATGTCGGCTAAAGTCGTAGGAAGTAAAAGATGCAACAAAATGAATGTTGTTTTATTTTCGTTACGTTTGACGCCATGAAAACTGGTTAATTATGTTTTATATTTCAACGAGTCTGCAGGTGTGCAATATCAAATATATGCCTGGTCATGCTATCTTACTGCGACTTTCATTTCCTATTGAGAAACTACTCTAAGTAACCTGTTCAATATCATTAACAATAGCCATTTCCACTGCGTTAATTCGTTATTACTCTTTAAAAGTGTACATATGGATCTGAAAGAATACATTGACAACACTCGAGGATAAGTCAGGTTACTGTATGATGGTAAGGGAGTTAACTCTAACACAAACCACAGTAGTAATGAGTGGGATTGTGTTTAACCTTAAGCGGAATAAATCTTACACAAATGTCATTAATACATATAGATGTAATAGGTAAGGTGACGAATAACCTTATGACTGGCATTAAATTAGGTTTCGCAGTTTCATACGTTTGTTTCTGATCATGATGTTAATTTCGCTATCGTAGTTAGGCATGAATGGCACTGTTAATTACCATTGCAATGACCTGTTTCACTCCAGAGGTCATACAAACCAAATATGATCGATATTTATTTGAACAGAAACCCAGATTTCCTTGTAAGGCAATGTCAAAATGGTTATATAAGTATGCACTGTTACATAATGGACTCACGAGGAACCACATTCTCAGAAAGAGAGGCGGGTAGCCGGGTGGCGCAGTGGATAGCGCACTTGCCTTCCTTTCACTAAGGCATCCGGGGTTTAATCCCCCTGATCGGAAATAAAAAGGTATGGAGTCACCTGCCCGACCTTGTGGGTTTATCCGGGTACTCCGGTTCTCCACCCCTGCAGGTGGGGGATCTGGAAAAGAAAACACCTGCTGTTACCCACTGCATGTATCGTAGGAGGCGACTAATAGGAACCCCCTGCAGATTTGGGGATTTGCTTTGGTGTCCTCTATTTGGTGTCACAAGAGCGAACAAAATAAATCTGCTGCGCCCATTGCAATGTTTGGGATCTTTATCTTTATTTCCACTTTTTACTTTATTTTATTTCCTAGCGCCTTACTTAGCAACACCTCACTTTTGGTTTGAATGTTGTGCGTTCACCCTGGTGAGGAAGGCAATGGGTTCTGTCCCCAGCCCGGTACATACCAAAGTCCTTAAAAACGGTAGTTGTCATTCCCTGCTTAACGTTCACGATTAAGGGAAGTGGTAACGACTGGTTCCCCCGTTGTCAGTATAATGTGACTGGGCGAATGCTGTGCTGGGTGTCTTCGGCATGGCATCTTAGTGAGATAGCACTATAAAATTGACATCAGATCCACGCTATCACAAGGACACAAGCCCATCAACATACCATATCTCCTGCATACACATACGCAAGCACTCATGCACTACCCACATGGAGGCACGTCCTTTAATGGCCTTAGCTGTTAATAGGACGTTAAACAAAGTTAAACCAAACCAAACTCCGGTTTCCCCCCCATTTGAAGACCCCGGCGTGCTTACACCTGGGCCAACAAGAGTGATAAATATAAGTTGATTTTACTTATTTCATAATTGTTTAAAAGCTTATAGAAAGAAAAAATGATAAACGTCTGAACTATTAACAATAGCTTTGTTACGGTTTTACGTCCTCGCAACACCATAGGTCATAGGTCATATGAGGATGTGTGTCTAGGGAGGCACCACCGGAAACAAAGAGTAGGGAGGTGAGGAGAGAAAGATAAAGGTCTCAAGTGTTGCTATTGGAGGAACGTATCAATAACAGTTTCTGCAATATTCCCTTAGCAAAACACATAGAGGAAAATCCCGGGATCTGCAGGGGTCTGAAACTAGTCGCCTTTTTTTCAAAACTATTTCCAGGTGTTTTTCTCGGTATGGTATGTACGCTTTCCAGCCGCAGCCCATCTCTATAGGAGCCAACTGTATGAGTGTAAGTACGTTTTATATTCTTCAGGATGATAATTTCCTGCCCTTATTATCATTAGTCAATTATCGTCGTCCAAAAAGTGGTGGTTTAATTTGATTCTATCCAATAGAGTAACTAATTCAAAGCAGACAGTAAATATCCATATCTATATATTGTTTTGACTTTTGAATGATTAAATAATTCCGTTCCTCCTCTTAACTGAAAATTTCGTAAAAATCGACAATGATATCGCGATGTTACTATAAATAATGACTTTATTTGAAAAGAGCAGAAGGAATTATATTAAAACGGGTTGCAAAGTAACAGAAAGTTTGTTCAGTTATACTTTATTGCTCTCGTGATTAAAAAGCATACATGTTCTTAAATAGAGGTCGAATTATGTATTTGTGATCGTTAGCACGCTTTACAATAAACATGGTGCCAGTATAGTGAGCGTTCTGTTCTACAGATAGACACGATCATACACGAGCTTGGTCACGCTATAGGGATGCTACACACAATGGAACGGAATGACAGGGATACGTACATCACAGTCAAGTACGAGAACATTAACCCTGACTCCCGTGGGAACTACGACACGGTCGGTATGAAGGGGCGGACGTATCCCTACTATGACACTCCTTATGATTATAAGAGCATAATGCATTATGGACCCAAAGTAAGTAAAACTAGTCATTTACATTTTTCTGAGAAATAAGATGGAGACAATGGATCAAAAAAATTGCTTCAATAACCATAACATGTTTGTCGAAGTTGATTCATGCTTTATTTATTATTTGTTTCAAAGGACAGAACGTACTTTCTGAAAATGTCGATAAACTGTTGTAAACATGTACTTCCCGTAAAAAATCAGAATTTTAAAATAACTCGTTCTTACTAAAGTGATTTATATTCTATGATATTTTTGTATAAGCATAATATTATTATAAGTTACTGATTAAGGTCAATTAACGAACAGACACGTCCCCTTTGATACATATATATAAAGTAGAACACCAAATGCTGTCAAGAGAGAGCATAAAACAAAGTTGAACTTACGAAGCACCTGCTCTTTTTTGAAGACATAAACATACAAACAATAAGTAACCATAAAACAGAAGTGGTGGTATTGGTTTATTGCAGTACTGGTCCTCTAATGGTAAGCCTGTCATGTTGACTAAAGACCCAGCCTACCAGTCTGTTATAGGTAAGTGACTTAAATAGCATTGAGTGCCCTAATATATCGAAATAACACAATCTCAATGCACCTGTTTCTATTTATGGATAGCAAATGATGGTGTTTTGATTGGCTGTAAATGTTCATGGAAATAAAAAATGTGCTGTTTTGAAAGAACAACACACATCTAAATGATCAGACTTATTAGTAATTTCCTGCTATTACAGGTTATTAAAATAAATCGGTTTATCAACCTGCATTTTCCCTGAAAAACCTCAACAACATTTCTTTGTTTGTAAGTGAACGTTCCTCATAGCAAACTGACCTAGAAGTACCTGTCAAACATATTTGGTACTGAAATAGTTTTTTTTTTACTTGGTTTGCCTTTCTTTAATCATTAAAACAACTTTTCTTTATATAACTTTAAACACAACAAGTTTGTTTGTGAGGTTATACACCAAACAACTACTGAACATCAAATATATTGTAACTGGCGAAAGGGTACTGGGGGTACATGTATGACTAAATCTATAATGTTACCCTACCTACAGGCAAAGCCAAAACCGTCAGCCATTACGATGCCGTGTTTGTAAATCGGGCATATCGATGTGCAGGTACGTCAGAATTGTTATGTTGTACATATTTTATTTTTATTTTTTTATTACTGCTTGGCTGGTTTTGTTTTGTTTAGTATTGTTTAACGTCCTATCAACAGCTATGGTCATTTAAGGACGGCCTCCCCTATGTGCAAGGTGCATGCGTGTAGTGTATACGTGATTGTTTTGGGAGGCTGCGATATGTTCGTGTTTGTCTTCTTGTGATAGCGCGGAACTGATGCCGACTTTAAAGTGCTACCTCACTGACACATACTGCCGAAGACACCCAGCAGGATACCCCACCTGGTCACATTATACTGACAACGGGCGAACAAGTTGTCCCACTCCAAAATTGCTGAGCGTTAAGCAGGAATAGAAACTACCATTTCTGGTATGTCTCGGCCAGGGGACAGAACGCTCAACTTAAGGCCAAAAGTGAGGCATTGTCAAGGGTACATTCGAAAGAGAGAAATTGTTTAGAAAGAAGAGAAAAGATAAGATCCCAAATTTAGTCGCCTCATGCAATGGGGGCAGCAGGTACAATTCTTACGCCCTACATTTTATGATGATTTCCGTATTTTCAGTCTTAATACAAACCTCGTTCAATCCTAACCTTCAAATTATTTTCATATTGCTTTAATTCTGATGAGGTAGTTTCTTTTTCCCATACCATCAGTAGATATAAGTATAAAAGATATAAGTATATCCATAACGGAGTGGTAAGGTACGTTATTTACATACAAGGAAGTTAATATGCAAAGAGTAGTATTTAGGTGATATTTTCAGGTCTTATATAGCGTTTTATCAAATATTATTATTTTTAATAGAATTACCCCAAAACATGTTTTTTTTTGTCGCCTTGTGATCCGAAGTTTTTATATGTGTTGTTACTGTAATTATCTTATTTATTCTCTACTTGTGTTATAATCGAATTTCAGAAACGTGTAGTCTACCCTGTGAGAATGGTGGGGTAAATGGCGGTAAACCTACGAGGGAGTGTTTCTGTTTATGTCCTGATGGCTTCATGGGAACATTCTGCCAGATACCTGTACCAGGATTTCAGCACAGTGAGTTAAACTTATTGCTACTTACATCCGGGAATTTGGAGTCACTCCTTCAAATATTCTAATTCAACTCATAGGTAAAGGGATTGTCAATTATGGAGAAGTTACCTAAAGTTGCGTACCGACATTTTCCTTGTGTAGGTTGGGTACCACACTTAGTTCATGAGACACTTGCCCTTCTGGAGTGCCTTGTTTTACTTCCGGTTAGACAGAAGATTCATGACGTCTTTCCACTTAGTTTTGATGTCTCGGCAGGATTTTTTTTTTGTATTGACATTTCATGTTTAGTTGGCCCCCGATTCGTTGACTTGTTTGCTATGTTTTTTTGCAGTGGCGTTTCGACAGCGTATGATGTAGTGTCTGATGTTATGGTAGACTGCTGTCCGTGTATCAGCTTTGTGATGCTCTGAGTTTATAGCGTGAATTCAATCTAGTATCCAGCTGCATTGCTTGACTTCACAAATACCTTCAATTTAATAATATAATCTTCCATGTGTGTTCATATTAACAATTTTAACAATAACGTCATTATGATGACGTCATAATTTTAACGTTGGATACCAATGACCCTCCCCGGGCGATGGCTGTTCTATTCATTGAAAAAAAGCATACACGATAATACATGATATGAACTAAATGCTGAATAATAACAAGTGTAATTGAATTGAACAGATTCAGAAAAAGGTAAATAGCGCGTTTCATTGAATTGGCATTTGTCCAGTTGGCATTAATTTTGCCTATGAATGCCAACTGAAAGCAGTTCGATGCTGACATAATTGCCTACAAAATCAACAAAGTTATTCTCATTTGCAGTCGTAAACTGGGACTGCGGGACATCTTGGCACTACGCTAATGGTAACTGTTACAAGTTTTTCCCGTCTGTGGCAGTAGACTATGAGATAGCCGCCGATCTGTGTGCCAACCACGGTGGAAACGTTGTATCATTTAAGAGTAGTAAAGAAGTGGTAAGATTTATTATAACTGATACAATCGATTTTGGACAGGCTGTAGTTTCTTGAAATTCTAAACGGTATGTTTGTCGATTTTTTTAATTAAAATATTTTTCAACATAAAGCAAGAAAATCAATGACATTGTCTGCAAAATGCTTTGAAATGAGAAGGTCTTTCATTGAATGAAATACACTATTTGTTACACATTTTTATGTTATTTTCACCTCCTCATCAGAAATGGCTCAAAGATAGAATTGACGAGAATTTCTTGATGACGTCTGTAGCAAGTTTCTGGGCCGGTGTTAAACGCAGGGCAGGTGAGACAGCCTATCTGCTTCCCGACGACTCCTTGTTGGATGCAAGTCTCATGTGAGTGTTGATAGGCGAAACAAACAAAATATTAGAGACAATTGGTACAGGAAATGCTTACCGTTCTGGAACACTTAGTTTAGCTGCCAGTTGTGTGTGCTGGTTAAAGGTGTATTTTCTGTTGTTTTTGTTTCTTCCCAGTCGTTATTATTCAATTTAAATGACAATAGAGGGATTGCGAATTCTGTAAACCTTCTAACGTTTGCGTTTCCAAATTTCGTAAAAAAAATCTTTATATATCTATAAAATCAGATATATAAATCTTTATAATCTTTATATATTTAATGTCGATATGAACGGTAGTATATATATGTAAAGATCACTGTTGAAATATATCTCCGTAAATACAAGTCGTGATATACATAAAAAGCGCGATAACTTCCTTCGCGTATCAAACTTAAAAATACAAGTGAGGTTTGCAACCATTATAAACTTTTCCCAATTTGCTTCAAGAAATTATACTAAAGCATTATTTTTGTATTGAAAAATACCTGTGAAGGCCGCTACACGAGATGGGCACCAGTGACGCGGACGGATGTGCCACAACAAATGGTCAGTCTCTGATCATAGAGAGCTGTGACATAAAACCGGACAATGGCGTCATCTGTATGAAACCTTTCGGTAAGAGGACAGGTTCCTTACGTATGAATATGTCATCCATGCATACAGATCTTCCATTTTTTTTTTTTTTATATAAAGTACAATATTTTCTTTATCATTGTTCCTGTATCAATTTATTTTTGTCTATGGATTGAGGTTTTGGGGCCTTTTAAAATTTCATAATTCTAAATAAAGAAGAAGAAATAAGTCAATTACACATGTATGTTTTAACAGTTGGAACAGAAATGTTTCTATAAATAGCCAAAAACCCATGTTTACTAATTGTCTCACAATATGGTCCTGAAACATATCAACCAATCGTAACGTCACAGGGCAATAATGGGCCTACAAATATTCATAAAAACACGCGTAAAGCATCGTTACATCACAACACAAAGAAATGGGCCTACAGATATCCCTAAAAACACGCGTATTGCATCGTTGCATCACAGGACAAAGACATGGGTCCACGGTGTCCCTAAAAGCACGCGTAAATCATTGTAACACCAGAGTGCTCCGGTATGTTTCTACAGATAACCCTTTAACACTAGTACTGCCTGAAGCGATTGTGAAACCAAGAAATAGGGGGTAATAAATCATAGTTTCTACAGGTTAATGTACTCCTTAAAACCTTTGTAAACAAATCGTATCAATACAATACGACAATTACTTTTTTCGTAACGGAGACACCACACATATTATAAATATTAATTATTAACGATGCTTGTGATTGGTTGGTGCTTCGTATTATACTAGATTCAGACTGTGGAGGACGTTACCGCCTAACATCTACCTCTGTATCTATACAATCACCCGGATTTCCTGCGGGCTATCCCTCCTCCACGAACTGTCAGTATGTACTACAGGTAAGTCCTCCACGAACTGTAAGTATGTACTACAGGTAAGTCCTCCACAAACTGTTAGTATGTACTACAGGTAAGTCCTCCACGAACTGTCAGTATGTACTACATGTAAGTCCTCCACGAACTGTCAGTAGGTACTACAGGTAAGTCCTCCACAAACTGTCGGTATGTACTACAGGACTACAGGTAAGTCCTCCACGAACTATCAGTATGTACTACAGGTAAGTCCTCAACCAACTGTCAGTATGTACTACGGGTAAGTCCTCCACGAACTGTCAGTGGGTACTACAGGTAAGTCCTCCACAAACTGTCGGTATGTACTACAGGACTACAGGTAAGTCCTCCACGAACTCTCAGTATGTACAACAGGTAAGTCCTCCACGAACTGTCAATATGTACTACAGGTAAGTCCTCCACAAACTGTCAGTATTTACTACAGGTAAGTCCTCCACAAACTGTTAGTATGTACTACAGGTAAATCCTCCACGAACTGTCAGTATGTACTACAGATAAGTCCTCCACAAACTGTCAGTATTTACTACAGGTAAGTCCTCCACAAACTGTCAGTATTTACTACAGGTAAGTCCTCCACAAACTGTCAGTATGTACTACAGGCAAGTCCTCCACGAACTGTCAGTATGTATTACAGGTAAGTCCTCCACGAACTGTAAGTATGTACTACAGGAAAGTCCTCCACGAACTGTCAGTATGTATTTCAGGTAAGTCCTCCACGAACTGTCAATATGTACTACAGGTAAGTCCTCCACGAACTATCAGTATGTACTACAGGTAAGTCCTCAACCAACTGTCAGTATGTACTACGGGTAAGTCCTCCTCGAACTGTCAGTATGTACTACAGATAAGTCCTCCACGAACTGTCGGCATGTACTACAGGTATGTCATCCATGAACTGTCAGTATGTACTACAGGTAATTCCTCCACAAACTGTCAGTATGTACGACAGGTAAGTCCTCCACGAACTGTCAATATGTACTACAGGTAAGTCCTCCACGAACTGTCAGTATGTACTACAGGTAGGTCCCCCACAAACTGTCAGTATGTACTACAGGTAAGTCCTCCACGAACTGTCAGTATGTACAACAGGTAAGTCCTCCACGAACTGTCAGTATGTACTACAGGTAAGTCCTCCACAAACTGTCAGTATGTACTACAGGTAAGTCCTCCACAAACTGCCAGTATGTACTACAGGTAAGTCCTTCACGAACTGTCAGTATGTACTACAGGTAAGTATTCCACAAACTGTCATTATGTACTACAGGTAAGTACTCCAAAAACTGTCAGTATATACTACATGTAAGTCCTCCACGAACTGTCAGGATGTACTACATGTAAGTCCTCCACGAACTGTCAGGATGTACTACATGTAAGTCCTCCACGAACTGTCAGGATGTACTACATGTAAGTCCTCCACGAACTGTCAGTATGCACTACAGGTAAGTCCTCCACGAACTGTCGGTATGTACTACAGGTAAGTCCTCCACAAACTGTCAGTATGTACTACAGGTAAGTCCTCAACGAACTGTCAGTATGTACTACAGGTAAGTCCTCCTCGAACTGTCAGTATGTACTACAGGTAAGTCCTCCACGAACTGTCGGTATGTACTACAGGTAAGTCCTCCACAAACTGCCAGTATGTACTACAGGTAAGTCCTCCACTAACTGTCAGTATGTACTACAGGTAAGTATTTCACAAACTGTCATTATGTACTACAGGTAAGTACTCCACGAACTGTCGGTATGTACTACAGGTAAGTCCTCCACGAACTGTCAGTATGTACTACAGGTAAGTCCTCC